ATATTTTAGTATACAGTACCGACCTCGAGTAACATGACATGACTCGCGAGTATCGAGTGGCGAGTGGGCGAGTGACTCGCGAGTCAATTGCGAGTGACGAGTGGCGAGTGACTCGCGAGTCAATTGCGAGTCACTCTCGAGTGTGAGAAGTTTGCGAGTGAATAAGTGACTCGCTGTTTGCGAGTGAATAAAATAACTCGCTGTTTGCGAGTGAATCGAAATAACTCGCAAAAATTTCCGACAACGACTATTCATTTGAAGCAATATCTCGGTACCTAATGACGTTAAAATCTTTTGAATTTTTTTACAAAAGCATTTTAATAACTTCACATTTCTCATGGCACAAACGTTATTCGTAAAGCGGTAGAGGCCATAGAGAAATTAGTGAGAAAATCAAAGTAACTCTCAAAGATTTTCTTCTAACAGTCTTAGATTGTTGACACATAGTATCTTAAGATAGAATACATTCAAAAACGAATATTGTTTGAGGTCAAATATTTAAGGAATGTAGCTATGAGATGAGTGTGCGTATATTCTTTTAAATTTGGTTTTGAAATTTGGTGAGCAGTGAACAAATGACACGGAATTAGAGAGTAAATGGAGAATTTTTTCTTCCAAGTCTTATGATGACATATATGCTGAATGCTGAAACAATGTCATTGACTTCATGTTTTATTGCTGAATACAGACCCCGTTGATAAAAGCTTTGCACATGCAATTAATAGCAAGCAACGATATAAAATATAGTACGAAATTTTGAAATGAAATATTTGACAATGGAAAGCTTAAGTTTATTATGCAAAAATTAATAAGTATATATATTATAGATTTACTTTAAGCAACTACTTTACTAATAGTCTTAGATTGTTGACATATAGTATGGCTAATTTATGACTTAACTTTTCTTCTTAAAAACTCATCTATTCTAACAATACATTGTTTCCAAACACTTTCATGTTCTTTTGCATTAACGTCAAAGTAATTAAATACGAACTGCTTGACTTTTTTCAGCTTTACGGGATCAAGGGCCTCTTTACCTTTTTTACCCAAGCAATTCCGATTTTCCCTTTCTTCTGGAGAAAACACTTTTTATGCTAGAACTTTGGCGAAGTGACCAACAGACAAGGCATTCTGTCTTACCTCAAGGCAAAACTTGTCAAGTTTGGTGTTGCTTGCCGATTCGTCGATTTCTTCCAAAGAGGGATTTAAACTTCTTTTGGCTGCAGTTTGAGTAGGTAGCGAATAGCCTTGATGAATGGCTGTTGCATTTTCCATGGAGTTGTTTCCGTCAATATTTTTTCTCAGTTCTTGTACGCAGGACAGTGTTTGTTGACAGATGTCTAATATTTGATGTAATACATCGTTACCACTCTGTTCAAATACCCTTTCTTGAGGTATTTGAAAGGGTATTTGAACAGAGTGGGAACGATGTATTTACCCTCTACCTTTTGATTTTAACGTCATTAGGTACCGAGATATTGCTTCAAATGAATAGTCGTTGTCGGAAATTTTTGCGAGTTATTTCGATTCACTCGCAAACAGCGAGTTATTTTATTCACTCGCAAACAGCGAGTCACTTATTCACTCGCAAACTTCTCACACTCGAGAGTGACTCGCAATTGACTCGCGAGTCACTCGCCCACTCGCCACTCGTCACTCGCGAGTCACTCTCAATTGACTCGCGAGTCACTCGCCCACTCGCCACTCGATACTCGCGAGTCATGTCATGTTACTCGAGGTCGGTACTGTATTATCCAATTATAACTGGTTTTATATACGTTACTCAGTAAAAAACCACTTACGAATTCAGTTGGTGTTTCTTACGAAGGTGGAACATCGCTTTTTAAAGATATCTGAAATATAAACATTGGAAATTAGACAAAAGGAAATAAATCAAAAGATTATGGAGATATACATTAATTCTTTTCATGAAAAAAAACAAGAAAAATAAACAAAGATTATGATAAGAAGCAATAAACTACAGAAAACGAACATACAGCAAGAATTTGACGACAAGTAACATAAGATAAATGAAACGAGAGCAGTTTCATAAAAAGATCAGAGCGATTCTCACATCACCACGCTGTTAACCTATGGTAGGAAATCAGATCTTTAATGGTGAATACCAAAGTGGAAGGGGGTAGTACCAATTATCAGAAAAGAGAATACAATTTAAGAATATAACTACAGTGATAGCGACCTGTGAAGATCGACCTTACTTTGTGAGCATGGAATGGTTACTGTGAAGATCGACCTTACTTTGTGACCAAGGAATGGTTACTGGGAAGATCGACCTTACTTTACTTCGTGAGCAAAAAATGTTGTGAAGGGAGATCTTGCTTTGCATGCAAAAAGTTTGAAAATATTTTCTTGAAAAACATGGCAATACGTCTGTAAATCAACTGAGAAGGGCAAAAATTAAAAGAAAGTTTTACCTCCATTTCCTTTGATGTTAGGTGACGGTGTCTGAGATTGTATTTTACCGATTTAAAATTGTTTAACGTAACGTTAGATTCACATAACCACGTGATCGTGACAATTTCCTCATGAACCTACCTCCCATGAAAGCTCTTTTTTGATTGGATCAAATGAATAGGTACCAACTGAAAACATGGAATACAAGTCATAAATGTTGATGGAAAACGTCAATGAAAAGCAATGAAACATCAGACTGTAATGTTTAATATTTTATGAGTGTTTTTACCGTTTGTAGTCAAGTTAAGGTTGAGAACTTGTTTAGGAAATGGAACAGTCACGACAACATTCTCGATCTAAATAAAATATGGAAACAATGAGTGAAAAGACTTTGAAAAAGTTAATGTATACAATATTTGACTTGGTATGATTACGTTAGGACGATGTAGTTAGTTTCATACAAAATGCTTTGAGATAATACGTATGAAAAAAATGGACTAGTTTAGGTTATATCTTTAAGTTTATAAATGCAAGAAGATGCAACAGCAGTTTAATAAATTGACATGATTATAAATACATACATTTTTACCCATAACTGGTTTTGAGCTTATCGACAATTCAAATCTTCCACTTCCACCCTGAAACAACCAAGAAAAAGACGATCATCGAATCAATGTTTTGAACAGTCGTACGAATTAAAAAGCAGCAGAATCAAACACTTTAATTTATTTCAATCAATAAAAAATATTTTAAAATAATTTCAACAGTTGATAAACCTCTTGAAACAAGACACAAGGCTTTGCAAACAATGGTAGCATATTTACTCTAAACAAAAAAACAAAAAATACCATCAAAATAGACAATTTCATCATGAAAATATAACAGCTAAAACACCCACCCGGTTGCCACGTTATATGATATTAAACGAAAACGACCATCCGGGGGGACGAATGACAAAATTCGTTCAGACTAAAATACACAGACATTTGAAGTAGTCGCGTTCAAACGCAGTTTTAGTGCAAGATTGAAAGAAAAGTGTTCAATGTAAAAAAACAATTGTTATTAGTCCTATTAAGAATAATTTGTGTCGACTTTCACCAGAGACAATCCATATTCAACATTCACACTTACGTACCTCCCATCTTCTGAAGCGAAGACAAGGATGAAAACTGACATCTTCAAGGATACGAGGATTTGTAAAACACATGTTGAGATCTATAATCAATAGAAATCTTTAATCTACAGAAAAATTCAATTTTAATCTATAGATATAACAAAGTATCATAAATATACCAGGCATGCCAGATAATTTACAGTTGCAGTCAATCTGAAAGAACAAAGTTGAAAAAAGTTGAGAAAACCTTTAAAATGTTATACTAGACAGTACATATAACAAAGTATAAAAAAAGGAAGGCACTTACAGTTCCTTGTATTTCTGAAAATATGGTGGAGCCCTACACAAAACAGAAAATTTTAGGAATTTAAACATGCCATAAGTTTTCAGTTTGCACATGTCCTTAGTTTTAAATTAACATCAAACAAAAACAACAAACATATTTTTGTTATACATCTTCCACATAGGGAACAAGAAATCCACAGTATTATAATGTTGTTACCTGTTTATCAATGATGGCATCAATGCTTTCGGCTACATCAAAATAAATCTATAACATAAATAGAATTAATTAGAAATACTTAGGACTAATTGGTGATAATTAGAAATAATTGGAAGTAATTATGAATAATTACAACTAACACCTAATTATAGCAATATTTATTACAACTAATTCATAAAAGAAAAAAGTTAACTCATCACATTACAACTAAAAAAAGCATAAAAACAGATTTTCTTTCAAATTTCTTAATGGAACAGTGTGAATATAGCTACATACCTCATTATTTGCATATTTTACACCACTTCTCCTCCATGGAACATTGGACAATTGACCAGTTGGGAGATGACTGCTCATACTAGGAAAATATGAAATATTTAACTAAAATTATATGTAGAATGATCATAAATGTGTAAATGATAACAAATTTAACTAAATATTGTAGTAAGTTTCATATAAATATCAACGCAAGTATAGAAATGTTTAGTGGTTTTACGGATTTGCTTTATATTTATATCTGATCCTTATATGAGCAACAAATAGATCACTACATAAAAACATGGCTTGTATGTTTACCATAAGGAAGGTTCTTACTTGCTATCTCCAGTCACTTTATTTACAACATTTCTAACTATACTAGGAGGTCTTATCAACTCTTTGAGGACATTTGACTCTGTAGCAAGAGGGAATCCATTATCCAACATCATATGATGTGAAGGCTAAATTATTTTTATCTACCACTAAGAATGCCTAATGCAATGTCTTTTGGTAAGTGATAACACTTCTTTGCAATGTAATGCATACTTTTTAAATTAAAACTAGCAATCAATCTCTTGATTGGATTAGAAGCAATTGATTCAAAATAAACATTATTAAAACATTAAATAACCTTAATATAAACACAAACCTTCATTTTCAACAACAGAAACAAAGAAGAGATCATGGCGAAATATACTGATAAAATAACTGAAACCTGTTGCAATTACAGGAGGAATGTCTTCTGGAGAAGTAGCCTGAACATAAAAGATGATATTTAATTTGTTTAGGAGCATTTTTGTCAGACAAATATAACATGAAAACCGTTCATGAAAGTACCTTAAAACTTCTCAACCAAACAAGCACAAACAACAATTTACACATAAATTCATTTACCTTTCCTTGAGCTTCGAAGAAATAATCACAAACAGAGCGTCCCAAAACACTTCTCCAATGTTTTTCCAGAAATATATCCCTAAATGTACATGAAAAACATCATATGACCTAGTGACTCACAGTAACCCATTTGGTGTAAAGTTGTGATAACTAAACAATTGAGGAAGCTGAAATCATCAAAATGGCATCATCTAACCGACTTCAACACTATTGAAATTACAGATATCAGGTAATATCTCACGATTTTTATGACATTCTTTATTTTTTCTGGGTATTAATCCTGTCACATGATACTTCTCATAATCTACCTTCACTGGCTTCTGACATTGTTCAAGCTTTTATTATCTTACTGAAACTAATCTTATTTCACCTCATTCAAATAATTGTAAAGTACTTCTCACAATAATCACAAGCTGATACGTACAAAACCAACAGAAGAGCTTTGAGAGCAAACAAATATAAAACCAATACATACTGTCACTACCGACTCACCCTGAATGGTTGATGATAAACAAACTGTGAATCATTGTAAAATCCACAGATAATAAAACCTATAAAAATGTATTTCTCCTTTACTTAACTAGCTTAATGGTTATAAAACTATTTTCATGTAAGTTCATTTCGTAAATATTTATTTATATTATTGCCAACATTTAACCAACATTTAAAAGCGATGTTTCCATTTAAAAAAAATTAAGATTCATGTAATCATCTTACTTGTCCCCAGACCACTGAAGACTCATGCAACGGTCTTTACCAGCTGGCTTACCTAACTTGTCTTTAATCATGGTCGTGAAGATTTTCGTCTCAATCCCATGATCCTAATTGATGACAAGTCAATGAATTGGAAGAGTCTCAAAAATATAACGACAGATGAAATACCATGCACTAGGTACAAGGAGCGATGTTCTGTTTTAGTCGATTTTAATTTTGTTTAGAAAAACGCATTTCGAGATAGGAATGGACCGTGACTTCCTTCAGTTTTTTATGTATATGCTACAGAGTCCCCGGAATCTACAAACTTGCTAAAACCTTAAATATAGACTGCATTCTGGAAAATAACTTTGTTCAAATCCTGAGTTTTATAAATAAGTCTCATTCTACTCGCTACGAACGGATCGAGAAGGTCTTTCGCTTCTCTCGAAACCAAAATATCAACTTAGTTGACTGTACCAACGAAACTAAAAACCTCTGTGTTATTTTATTACTAGCATGTTTGTGTTTATGAAAAGGAAAGAAAAATGAAGAGTGAATTTCCGTAAAGAATAAAGAATTTTGATGCATTCATTTTTATACCAACTTATTGTAACAAATGATTATGGAAGGATCAAAGTATGAAATGAACGATGAATACAAACGTTATTTGCAAAGTCCATTTCATTATCAGGTATTGCTGGCAACTTGATTCTATTGCTGTATGAAATCTTTTTTAACTTATCATTAAAAACAAAGTGCATGTCACTTAATTTTATCATCTGCTTTTCCACCAAACTGAAATTCGCAGTCTGGCACTGTAAGGTATTTACTTTGTTCTAATGTTATAAAATAGATTTGACTATGTTCTCGTGGAGTTTTAAGAAAACATATATCAAAGAATAATTTTCTGTTTTTGATGGGTCATAGCTGAGCCATCAAAAACACAATTGGTGACAAAAACTGGTTCACGTGATCTTCCATTTAATGTTAAACAAAAGCATTCACGAAACAATATACGACCAAACAAACATATGACTAAAAATTTGAGCATGTATTTCATTTACACTACGATACTCTTCAGTATTAAGAATTACAGGTCGATCACGGTTTGTCTCAGAAAACGATAATCAATGATTGATGATAGATGATTGATCACACATTTAAGTGTAGTGTACAAAGAAAAGTTAAAAACAAACGACAAACCCGATTGCTAATTACAAAATAACATTTCTGTTTTGTTTTCTTTAGACGACCAACCCCAACAGCCATTGCAAGTTGAAAACAAGACTAGCAATAGAATATGTTCGTAGTCTTCTCCCGGATAAACCACCACAAGATCGTCCCGTATCTCGACAAAATAGTTTGAGAGTCCCGGCAAGATTTCTTTCTAAGCCTAGCGTTGCCAAATGTCTAGGCATCCAAAATGTAAATTCCCAAATTGAGGATTACGCTTTTCATGAAAAATCTTATCGAGGGCCTTTTTGGAGAGCTAAGTAATTTTTTATTAGCATCTCTATATTGAGATGAGCAGATATTTCTACAAATGAAATGTCGCAAAGTTTTATCATTTTGTTTAGCTTGGATTTTTTGTGCTATTCACTTCTAGATTGCTTCAAGAACTCTTTCGATGGTTTTAAAGTTTATGAAAACGTCCAAAGTCCGGATGTAACAAGGTTTTCTTCAGCCAGCCAACGAATCTCTCAAAACATCTTGACCGTTGATCTTCGTAGGCAGTCGCTGGCAGAACAATGTGAGACAATTCAACTAGATCATGGTGATGGTCACGATAGAAGGGCACGATAGAAATGACTTTGCACAAAATCAACGAATCATTTCTGTAAATGAAGAAGCATATGACAATGTTATTGATATTCATGATTCTAATGCTTCCAAACAGGCAGCTGGTGTTGTTGTTTGGACTGGTCAACTTTCTAAAGGTGAAAGGGATTTAGATAACAGGAAATCATGTAACACAGATCCTTTAGATAGAATCTATGATGCAGATATTCATAATGTTAATAGCTCACATGATGATAAGGACAATCATCTAAAATCAACTCACTGTAATGTGGAATTATCTTCCAGTGATAGCGTAAAAATCGACGATGATGTTTATAAATATGTAATCATTCAAAAGTTATCAGTTTCCTCAAGAACGTGCTACTTTTTGACAGAAAATGACTTTAATTTGCTGGAGAACCGTGCTTCACAAAAGAAAACTAAATGCAGAGTAACAAACATGTCACGTATTAATTCAACAGAAGAAAACAAAGATGACTCTTGTAGTTAGAACAAAACAAAGGAACTTTTAAAAACGGTGAGACCAATCAGCTTGAAATTATTGCAGTAAGGAAACCCGTGAATAAGCTATCAAGGTAAAACTTTAAATTGAAAAACAAATAATCAGTTAATTTCATAGAATATTCACAAACCTTGTTTTCTATTTAGAAATGAAAAAGTCTCCGATTTCTCTCGATGGAAGTTTGAAGTCAACACGAGCCCGAAATTGGGTCATTTTTTGTACTTTGCATATGGTTTGAATATGAATCAAAACAGGTATAATGATTTGTAGCTACTGTCATCTGTACTTAATAGAAAATATCTTTTGATTTGACGAATTTGGGGCTTGCATTTAGGTTGTCTATACAACTACGGTGTAAAATAAGATCACGTCTTTGGGGATTGCTATTTGGCTATAGACTTTAATAAACGTGGTCAGAAATAACAGAAGCAGTATCTTTAAGAGAGTTTTCAAAATCAGTTTTATTGCCTCTAACTCTTAGGTGCATTTGGTAGTGACATGGGCTTTCCAAACGTAGTCCAAGATCCTGAATGTTCCGTAGAAGGTTGCGTTTATGAACTATCGTCAGAATATCTACCGCTTTTGAATATATGTATTGCTTCTCCAAAGGTAAACCAACCACTTTTAAATTTTCCCTTGACACTTAATTTGCTAGTCCTCCGTCTTCTTTCAATCAGCCTAACGAAAATTTTTTTGCAATAATAACAGGGAATCAGCATTTATATACGTGCAGGCAATATATCCAATACTAAAGTTGAAAATTCAACCATATACTGTCCAATTTGAACAATCAAATAAGCAAATATAATGTATAAATCTATATCAATAATTATGCTTCTCTAGCATTACAAGAGATTGGTTCTACCTGTTTGGATGTGTGAAAATCCTGCTCGATTTGAGCATGGTATATGTCAACAATGTGTTGCTGCAGTTGTTTATGTTGCTCAAGAAAAATATATCTCGCCAGGTGAGTGAAGCTTTCGTTTCCTCTTACATACCAAAAGCTATTTTCTTTTCATGATTTCACTACCAACTTGCAATATGATTTTGCATGCAAAACTCATTGAAAATTCAAACAATGCCACACAAACTCGGGTTTTATGAAAGCCAATGAAACCAAGCAAAATAAACTTATCATAGGAAGACATGATGGAAGGCGTTTTTACCGAAATCACGCTTTTGCCCTTTGGGAATACTTTTTAAGTAACCAACATGAGCGCAAGTCAACGCGTAATGCTGTTCATCTTAAAGCAGAACAAAGTCAACGCGCCATACATTGATCTATTGAGTTCATGATCTCGACTTACCATAACATTGTTGGATAGCTGTTGGATTTCTATTTTCTTACGTGGGTCAACATAACGTAATTCGATGAAATCTGAAGCTTTCCATTCAAATTTGTCATCGATTTCTTGCTTTAAAACATCCTCAGTCTTTGATTCGTCAACTTCAAGATACATGTGACGATAATTCATCTCATCAGTAGGACGTGATGTACCATACTTACCACAAAGCCAAGGAAAACTGCAAATGTGGAAAAGTGAAGATATTCGATGCTTTTTCCTCGTGTCAAATAAGTCAAAATTGACGTAAAAGCGATAAAAAACATTTACCTTTTCAAATTTCCTGGACGCTATCTTTAATTTTGTGATCCTTTGTGAGAAAACGTTCTTTAAATTCGACTGTGTTGGGAGTGGAAGGTTCATCTACAAAATATTACACAATATAATAGCTCATCAAAATATTGATGAGCTATGTGAAAAGCTAACACCATTCATAGCAAAGAAAAACACCACTATGAGAGATGCTATATCTGTTCATGATCGTTTTTATGTAACATTAAAGTTCTTAGCATCAGGATGCTCATACAAAGATTTGATGTACAGTTTCAGAATATCAGAATATTTAAAGCCACCCACAACAAAGCAATAATGGCTACACATTGCTGATGAATTTAAGTGCAAATGGCACTTTCCCCATGCAGTTGGCACCATTGATGGTAAACATATCAACTTGCGTGCACCTCCAAACTCAGCCTCTGAGTACTTTAACTATAAAAAACATTTTAGCATAGTCCTCTTGGCTATTGCAGATGCAAATGCTAAATTCATCTCATTTGAGCCCCTGGCAGCCAGTCAGATGGAAGAATTTTTAAAGACAGTCACCTTAAAAACATATGCAAGACATGCTATTTCCCAGAAGCTGAAGAACTAAGAGATACATTATTGCCTATACCTTACTTTCTGCTTGGAGATGAGGCATTTGCTTTGAATGAAAATCTAATGAAACCATATCCACACCGGACTGCAATAGGTGATGAGAAAGTTTTTAACTATACACTTTCACGAGCACGAAGAATTGTCGAAAATGCATTTGGATTGATGTGTAGTCGATTCAGATGTCTTTTGAGAACATTGGAGTTGGATGTTTCACATGCAATGCAGGTGGTGAGGGCCTGTATGGCACTGCATAACCTTTTGATAAGTCAGAAGGACCAGTTTTACACACATCCAGGATGTATGGACTTTGAAGATGAATTAGGAAATGTTGTGAATGGTTCTTGGAGAACACAATTAGGCAATGAAAATAAAGCATGTGACATCCAGCCAGATGCTGGTGCCCGCCCATCATCAATTCATGCAAGACAAATCAAAAATGCTCTTAAAGACTATTTCTTTGAAGAAGGGGCAGTTGATTTTCAATGGACAATGACAAACTAAAGAATTATAACAAAGAAATAAATTTACCTTGTCTGAATATAAAAAATATATGAAAACTTGTTTTGCTGGTTGATGTTGCCCTTTATATATATATAAATCCAGTAAGTAAACTCAAACAAATGTATAAGTTATTTTGATGTAGAAGTTTAATCATTGAAACATGTTCATTTAAAATACCCTAGTTTAATAAGATGGTGGTTGAAACTGATTATTTATTGATTGGTCTGCTTGATAAAATGGTTGGTATTGAGCCTGTGAGGGAAAAATAGTTGATTGTATGGCAAACTTGACACGTCTTTGTATATCTTTATCTACCAGACCATGCATTGCATGTGCCACATCTTTACCAAAAATATCCCACTGGTCTTCAGGAGCAGATGTTGCTGATTTTGCCAACTGGTTCAAGGCAGATGTTGCTGACTCAAGAAATGGACTATGTGATTGTTTTCTCTTCTTTGAGCTTGAAATAAAACTACATTCACTTCCTGTATCTTCATTATCAATAATTGAACTATTCAAATGGTTTTCTCTGCCTGGTGGAAAACCTTCATCAATAGCATTTGTAAATACTTGACGATTGTGTGATATAACTTCATCCAGGAAACTGCACTGGTCAAAAAACGTCCATTTTCATACATAAACTTCACTAGCCCCACTGCCTGTACCTTGGCTTTTTCTTATTTTTCTAACTTCTTCTCTATAAAATGTTCTTAAGCTCTGTATCTTTGCTAAAAGTTTAAGCCAGAAATTTTATTACAATAGACTTATTTGAATCCAAACAATAGCATATAAAGCTACAGATGGATATGTTTTCCTTTACCAATTTTGGCATGCCAACAAGCCAGACATGCCAACCTCCAGCAAGTAAATATAGTGAGATTTTAATTTTTCCCCCATGAAAATAGTGAGAAAAGGCTAAAAATAGTGAGACAACCAAAATATGCAGTTTGAATGTTGTTTTTTCATTTTTGCAACTTCCTGTAAATAGTTTACAGTAATATGAGTCATGCAGAGTCATCATGATTCATCAGTCTCACTCTCTTGCTGGTTCTTATTATATTTCATGGTTGCTTTCTTGCAATCTTTCAGTAACTGATCACCCGGTTTCCATTTATGGCATGGTGTAGACTTGCAGGCTGCGCCCAGGCTCCCCCTGAACTCTGAAACCCGCAATGACCAAGCTTAATGCATTATGCCGCCGCATGGCTCGTCAATGCGATCAAGGGAGACGATCCGATCGTACTATCTGATGATTCGACACAAAGGCACTACACTAATAATTATGTCTACAAAAATTTATAGACCCTTTAAGGATTTCCATTTTATTTCTCGTGAGATATACGAGAAAAATCGTAAGACCGTGAGATTTACATCAAAATCGTGAGTCTCACGATAAAATCGTGAGACTTGGCATGTCTGAACAAGCTGAGTTAGAAGTTTGAACACATTGCCATGTAAGCAGGACAAGATATTTTTTCTTTGCGATTTAATGCAAACCATAGAGCATAAACAATGTTTATACATCGTTAAAATGCAATTCTTTCTACTCCATTAGAATCTTATCACTCACCTTTGATGCTTGGCAAATCAACGTTTGGCAGTTCAACTTTGATTGCTTGCAGTATTTCCTGGTAGTGTGCATTCTTCATATTTCTGAACTATCAGTATCGAGCAACAAACTCACCACTTGATCGGGCCAGTTTGTATTATTACCCGCCATGTGTTGTTTTATGTGAAGCCTGGGATCTACTTCGCTCCTTGATATGTGCCAGTTTTTATTTGACAGCCATCTACACAACCCATTTTTTGTATGTGATAAGTAGACAATAAAAAGTATGAAAAAAAGGAACATACTCCCATCAACTTGAACAAATAGTTTTGTGACGTCGACAAAAATTCGTAAAGTTATCTATCAACAAAAGTTAGTTGTTAGTTCGAAATTTGTCATTTTAGCATTCTATTGTACAAGTCAGTACGACTACGTCACAACATTGAGTTTCAGACGCAAACTAAATGGTTTTCTACGCCTGAGAAATCACAAATTATCGATTTATGAATTATAAATACTAGAATGATAACATAGGTGCATTGCATTTTTTATAACAATGTAATTGATACATGTTTCTAAATGTACATCATCCAGGTTGGTATAGTCCTGAGAAGGACTGTTTTTGTTGTTGTTGACTGACGTTTCGACATTTTTAGCGGTAGTCATCTTCAGAGTCAAATGAGGAGTAAACGTCAGGTTAGCCGTATTTGTTATCTGGTTCTTACGTCATTGTATTGTGTGTACAGGAAATGTGTATTCAGTGGCGTAGGTAGCGAAAAACATTTGGTCGGGCTCACGAGGCGCCACCATGGTTGGCACCGAGCGAGAAAATTTTCCGAATTTAGACTCCCTAGAACGTCGGAAACGGCTATTTTAGAAAGCAAAGGCGTGATATTCATGCAGGAAATAGAACCATTTTGGTTAATTTAAATTGCCGAAGGATCTTATAGTAAAGCTACGGTGGCCCGTATGTGCCACAGCTTCTGCGTAGAAATATGTAGCTGTTGCATACAAATCAAGTTTCTACGTACAAACCCGAGTGTTCTCCGTACAAATATAATGTTGCTCCATGGAAAACGAACTGCTCCACACAAATGTTAACCTTCTGCTTGTTGAAATGCTACTTCTCCACACTTAAAGAAAGGTTGCTACGAGCAAATAATCCCTTCTCCACGCTGAAATTATCTTTCTCTATACAAATAAACATACTACCGTGAAATTGGCACCACATTGGGCACAACATTCAACACAACATTCATCACAACATTCAACACCACATTCAACTAAAATTGATCATTCAAAATGATAAATCGAAAAATCGTCTTTAAAACACGTTTTCCATCAAATACAACAGTAAAAAACAATTCTTAACTGTTTATTATTATTTTACTGTCCTTAACCATCACAAAAAATGTAAAAAGTCAAGAAATTGAAGAAAACACTAAGATTTAAATTACAGTGTACTTTCCATTTCTCTTAATTAGCGTATAACTTAAAAACTACACGGTAAAATTTTTTTAAACTTGGCCAGAATATAGATAATTATATTGCCTAAAATATATCCAAAATCTGGAGAGTGCACAAAAAAATAAGTTGTAGAAAATCATCGGCAAAGTCGGATGACACGAATACGCGTAATATAATATTATATAATTAACTTCCTATATCCAGGTAACTTTGCAAACAAAGGCCTATAAATAAAAAACTACACGGTAGAATTTCTTTAAACTTGGCCATACTGTTGATATGTTTATTCTCCAAAATATATCCAAAATCTGGAGAGTTCACAAAAAAATAAGTTGTAGAAAATCATCGGCAAAGTCGGATGACACGAATACGCGTAATATAATATTATATAATTAACTTCCTATATCCAGGAATCTTTGCAAACAAAGGCCTATAAATAAAAAACTACACGGTAGAAATTCTTTAAACTTGGCCATACTGTTGATATGTTTATTCTCCAAAATATAGCCAAAATCTGGAGAGTTCACAAAAAAATAAGTTGTAGAAAATCATCGGCAAAGTCGGATGACACGAATACGCGTAATATAATATTATATAATTAACTTCCTATATCCAGGAATCTTTGCAAACAAAGGCCTGTAAATAAAAAACTACACGGTAGAATTTTTTTAAACTCAAGTATATTATAGAATTTTATATTGTCTACAATATATCCAAAATTTGCAAAGTGCACAAAAATATAAATGATAGAAAAACATCGGCAAAGTTGGATGACTCAAATGCGCGTAATATAATCTTGCATAAATAAGTTAAGAATTCCGGTTCTATAAATAAAAAACTACACGGTAGAATTTTTTTAAACTTGGCCATATTGTAGATATTTTTATTGTATTAAATATATCCAAAATCTGGAGAGTGCACAAAAAATTTATTAGTACAATTCACTTTTTACTAAATTGTTTAAAAGTAGTAAACTCTGTTTGGTTGTTAGTACCAAATTACTTATGCAGTGACGTAACAGTGCTGGATAATTTTTTTTGAAAATTTGTTCTAGTTGCTCATCGCTTTAATTTTTTCAAAATTTAGTGAATGAAGTAAATGACTTGTTTTTGGAGTAGTCGTGACCAAGTATTACTTAATGCAGGACCTTTACGTCACGGTATAATTAGACATGTGCATTATTTATATTGTATTTTTACAGACTTACTAGATAATTACTTTACTTTATTATCTTATAATTAGAAATCGGCTATTATTTACCACAGTATTTTTCTTTCTATCGCATTTTTTAACGTTGTTGACACGATCAGAATATCGATTAACAATTTCAATTTTTCTGGAAATGTTCCTCTTGCATTCTGAACTTATATGAAGTTACTTTATGCCCGTTTCCGCTTTCTTAACACGTCACTTGTAGCTAAATAGAAATGCACTTATTCATAGATGATTTAGTATTCTCAATGTATTCTCGTTATTTTTTACAACGAAGTCGTCAAAAGAAAAACACTACGTTATTCAACAACAACAACATCTCGAATTCTTTTATTTTCAACAACACTCCCCCCTTCTGTGATAATCCCAAAATTTCAATCACGTGAAATGCACGCGCTACGTCACAACAAAACAAAATAAAAACAACTGTTCATCACATGCAAGATTATATTACGCGTATTCGTGTCATCAGACTTTGCCGATGATTTTCTACAACTTATTTTTTTGTGCACTCTCCAGATTTTGGATATATTTCAGGCAATAAAAATATCTACAATATGGCCAAGTTTAAAAAAATTCTACCGTGTAGTTTTTTATTTATAGGCCTTTGTTATCAAAGTTCCCTGGATATAGGAAGTTAATTATATAATATTATATTACGCGTATTCGTGTCATCCGACTTTGTAGATGATTTTCTACAACTTATTTTTTTGTGCACTCTCCAGATTTTGGATATATTTTAGGCAATATAATTATCTATATTCTGGCCAAGTTTAAAAAAATTCTACCGTGTAGTTTTTAAGTTATACGCTAATTAAGAGAAATGGAAAGTACACTGTATATAAATCTTAGTTTTTTCTTCAATTTCTTGACTTTTATACATTTTTTGTGATGGTTAAGGACAGTAAAATAATAATAAACAGTTAAGAATTGTTTTTTACTGTTGTATTTGATGGAAAACGTGTTTTAAAGACGATTTTTCGATTTATCATTTTGAATGATCAATTTTAGTTGAATGTGGTGTTGAATGTTGTGATGAATGTTGTGTTGAATGTTGTGCCAATTTCACGGTAGTATGTTTATTTGTATAGAGAAAGATAATTTCAGCGTGGAGAAGGGATTATTTGCTCGTAGCAACCTTTCTTTAAGTGTGGAGAAGTAGCATTTCAACAAGCAGAAGGTTAACATTTGTGTGGAGCAGTTCGTTTTCCATGGAGCAACATTATATTTGTACGGAGAACACTCGGGTTTGTACGTAGAAACTTGATTTGTATGCAACAGCTACATATTTCTACGCAGAAGCTGTGGCACATACGGGCCACCGTATAAAGCAGAGAAACAGTTCAAAAATAGTTGCAGATATGTGATTTATTCTCTCAACACCACATACATAAATAGATACCTATGTACATCTTGTAAAGAAACTTTGACAAAAGAACCGATTTGTCTCAGAACAGGCTGAACCGAAAAGGCTCAGATTTGTCATCAACAACTATCAAAAGTTGTGATGAAATTGTCGTGCTGAAATGACAATCATCATTGATTGCATTAGAAAGTTCCCGGAAAAATTCTCATATGCCATGGACGTAAGACATCATCAGCTTGCTATCAGCCATATATGAATACCTATTTGTATAAGAAAGCAAGTCTTCGTGGTTTCTCAATGAACTTCTTTACTACCTCATCATGCAATGTGTTGGCGTCTTCTTTCTCTGACAGTATGTCTTTGTGAATGGAAATCCTGAAAAGAGAACTAAAACGTCCTTGGCTCATAGTATTTCTAAGATAATTTTTTACCCTCTTCAAACAAGAAAATGACCTCTAAACTGAAGGACTTGTAATTGACAAAACCCCATTTATCTTAAACAGTTTTACAACTTCTGGAATACTAGATTGATAATGGAACTAAAAAATATATTTCAATAGTTCATCTCATGAATCACAGTGAAAGTCTTTATCTCTGTAAATAAAACAAAGTTGGCAAACTAGCATTGGTATGTCAAACATATCACCATAAACCTCCTTTAGAAGATTTATCTTTTCTGAGCGCACTTCACCTTTCCACATCTTAAACACCCTAGGGTTAACAAGGTCAAAAATCTAAAATGCTCCATATCCTGAAATCACTCAGTCAGCATAGTCACAATTGTGTCAAGAATTTCAAAATACATTTGTTTGTAATTATGCTGTTGGTCATACCTGGTTACTGGTGGTCCCACTTTCTCAACAGCCAGGTCGTACACCTGACAATATTCTGTATCATTTCTCAGAGAAGCAACAAAGGCCTTGAATCTCTCAAACCTACTCACTCCATAATGAAAGTCAGTGTCCTTGTCTTGCAAGATAGAATAAAGTATGGATGACTGCTCAAATTTTTGGAGAAGGACAGAGAATTGTATATGGTGTTTGTAGATTTGGAGAAGGCGTTTGATAGAGTTCCGAGAAAGGTGATCGAGTACGCGCTGCGTAAGAAAGGTGTGACAGAGAATATGGTTCGGGCAGTTATGGAGACTTATGAAGGTGTAGAGGCGGTGGTTACGGAGGAAGGTGTTAGATCTGGTGTTTTTGAGGTAAAAGTTGGTGTTCATCAAGGTTCAGTCTTGTCGCCGTTACTGTTTGCTTGTGTGATGGATGTACTGACAGAGGAAGTGAGAAGAAAAGAAGGATGCTGGTGTTTGTTGTATGCAGATGACATTGTCTTGGTGGCGGAGTCGAAGCAGAAAGTCATGGAATGGTACCGAGAATGGAAAACGGCAATAGAAGTCAAGGGACTGACTGAAAGTGAATGAGGCAAAGACGAAGGGCATGAGATGCTCGAGGCAGGTGGAGGTGAAGGACAGTGATAAATGGCCATGTGGTGTGTGTGGGAAAAGAGTTGGAGTGAATCTGATAATGTGGGAAATGTGGTGGTTCATGGAAGTGAGTAAAAGAGGTGTGGGCGAGTCGCGATTGGACGAGTGGTGGAATGGAACTGGGCGATGGAATGGAATGATTTCAAGCGGTGGTGGAATGGTTGTGGAAATGTTGTGCGGAACTTGGAAAGAAGAAGTATAAGGCATGTGTTAGAAGGCTTTTTGGGATATGGAGCAGAGTGTTGGGCGCCGAAAGCGGAGGACCTGAGAAGATTGGCGTCGACGGAAAGGAGAATGCTTAGGATGATGTGTGGTGTAACGTTGATGGATAGGATTCGAAGTGAAGAGATTAGAGAAAGAGTTGGTGTTGAGTGTATCGAGAATTGGGTAAGGCGCCAGCGTTTGAGGTGGTTTGGGCATGTGGAAAGGAGGGAAGAAAGTGCTGAAATTCGTAGAACGTTGCATATGAATGTTGATGGAGTACGCAAACGAGGTAGACCGAGAAAGAGATGGATGGATGCTGTGAACAGTGATATGAAGGCGATGGGTATAACGAGAGATATGGCGAGAGATAGAGACGTGTGGCGTGGAAAAATTCATGGACCGGTCAACCCCCCTGGCGGGGATTAATACTGGCCGGTATATAAATGTTGTTTGTTGTTTGTTTGTTTGACTGCTCAAGAATTCTCTGGAAACATGTACCAAGAAACAAAACAAGAAGCCATTAAGGTAGCCAAGTAAACCAGTAACCTTACTTAACGTTTCATCATCCCAACCTATTGGATTATCAGTAAGATTTTCAAATATGTCTATCAGTTTCTCATAGTTAGAATGCAAGAGATTGATGACATAAGCCCTATAATACCATCTTGTGTCACCAGGACTAGGAAACCCAAGCCTATGGGATGATAGTAAAGCTTTTCTTCTGGGGGAATTTCTAGTAAAGGTGCAGAAAGCACTAATATTAACAAAGAAAATCTTAACAGGTGAAATGGAGGATGCAGCTTGACATAATACTAGATTTAGTCTATGGGCAGCACAGTGAACAAATTGAGCATAAGGATAATCTTGCTGAACTTGAGCTTGAACACCATTGAGATGAACAGACATAACAGATGCACCATCATAAGTCTGTCCAATAAATTTCTCTTTCACATTATTATATTGACTTAACTTACCCTTAACCACTGATGATATAGCAGTTGCAGTCCTATCACAACTAACATCAACAAACTCAAGCTGTCTTTCAATGACACTTTCCCCTTTGTCCATTAGAACAATTACACTCAATTGTTCTTTGGTAGAAACATCAGTTGCCTCATCAACCTGTATACTTAAGAAAGTGCAGCAATATGTTTCCTTTAAAATCTCATGCTCTATTATCTTATCAATACAATCAATCAAATCATTCTGAATATCAGGAGAGACTCCAGTAAACTGCCCTCCCCCATCAAGGTGGGTTTCAGCAAGCTTTCCATGTAATCGCCTTTCAAAAACAGAATCCATCTTGGCAAAACTTTCAAGTAGCTCTCTATAATTTCCTCTATTCATGCTGCTACTAGATTCATCATGCCCCCTAAATGCAAGCTCTTGCCTAGACAAGTATAAAACAGCTTCTGTTATGGTTTTCAACATTTCCCTGTTTTGCCTTACCTCCTCGTTATGACGCTGAATCTCTTCACGTCTAGCTTGTGACATGAGACAGTCGACACGAGGCTGAAAACCGTAGGTCTTCCAGGTCTTGTAGGCACCCACGTGCGATTTTGCCTTCTCATGCTTCTTACAATCGGATAGGAAATTCTTCATGTTTTTGAATCCCGTCTGCGTCCAAGAAGATGACGATACAGCGCAAAATAAAAGACAAGACCAACAGAACAATGCATTATTTTCTGAGCTACCACAAAGCCAATCTTTCTTCGAGTACCAACTTTCCTGAAAGCTTCTATTGCCTGTAGTCGCTTGTAAATTTGGAATTGGCCGCTGCTTTACGAGTATATTTTGCTCGCCTGATTGTCGAACAGAAAATGGTTTCTTTTGTAGTTCACTTATTATATCGATTTCATTAGCCGAAGCCATTGTAATGTAAGTTATCACGATTTCTGAACGTATATTTCTAAAGCTCAAAATTGAAGTCACGCTTTTGAAAATGAGCCCGACTTGATGTTGTTAAACGTTTGAGTGTGTTCACAGCTACTCTCTGCAATAGGCGGCACGGTGGCAGGGATGGTGTGATTTTGTGCTGGGGGCAATGGTGCCAGATCTCTCAGTGATACCGTTGATTCTCTGCCGTCCAAATATTTAATATGGGCATAAGTAGGGTTAGCTTCCTTCAACTCTACCTGGTCAACAAGTGGGTCATTCTTGCTTGTTCTCACATATCGGCGGAGCAGAACCGGTCCGGGGGACTGTAACCAGGTGGGAAGTGAAGTACCATGTGTCGAACGGCGTTGAAAGCCAAAAAATCTCTCATGTGGAGTTGAGTTGGTGGCAGTGGAGAGGAGAGACCTTGCTGAATGAAGCGCGTCAGGGAGTACCATTTCCCATTTACTGTCCGGCAGGCTTGCTGACTTGAGAGATAAGCGAATAGCTTTCCACACTATACCGTTATAGCGTTCTACTTGGCCATTGCCCATCGGGTGGTAGGGTGTAGTTCGGCTCGTGGCGATGCCTCTCTGAGAGAGGTATTCTTTAAGTTCCTGGGACATGAATGAGGCCCCTCGGTCTGAATGGATGAAGCCTGGCGTCCCACACAGAGTGAATAACTGATCCAAGCATCTGATAACGGTTGATGAACTCATGTTTGGGCAGGCGAAAGCAAAAGGGAAGCGTGAATACTCATCCACGACTGTTAGCATATAAGGATTATTAGTAGTCGTAGGTAGTGGACCTTTAAAGTCCACGCTGAGTCGCTCCATAGGTCGAGTAGCCTTGATGAGGACTCCTTGCTGCGGTTTGTAAAATTGGGGCTTGAGCTCAGCACAGACCCTACAAGTAGAGCACACCCTCTTAACTTCTTCTGTAGAGTAAGGGAGGTTTTTCGACCTTATGAAATGTAACAATCGAGTGACACCTGGGTGGCATAGAGCAGCGTGTATCTCAGTAAGGCTAGCTGCAGGTATGGAAGCTGTGAAAGCCCGGGTAAATGAGTCGGGAGCAGCGTTATCCTTACCGGGCCGGTATTTTATGGTGTAGCTAAAAGAGGCTAGTTCTAGCCTCCAGTCCTGGATTTTATTGTTCTTTACTTTGGTGCGTCTTCGGTTGTCAAACATGAAGGCGACTGACTGCTGATCGGTTTTGAGTGTAAAATGTCTGCCTGCAAGAAAATGTTGCCACTTCCTGACAGCTTCAATTATGGCCATTGCTTCCTTCTCTACCGCAGGATAGTGGAGCTCACTCCCTTGGAGGGTCTTGGACATAAACGCTACAGGTCTGCCTCCTTGATTTAGTGTAGCAGACAGGGCAGTTTCTGAAGCATCAGTCTCTACAACGAAGGGGAGGCTCTCGTCAATAGAGTGTAATGACGCTTTCTGCAGCTCCTCCTTCAGCATTGTGAATGCATTCAGCGCATCGCCATCAAGTGGAAATGAGGTTGCTTGTAGTAGTGGTTGTACTTTGTCAGAATAGTTTGGTATCCATTTTGCGTAGTATGCAAACATACCGATAACTCTTTTCAAGGATTTGGAATTTTCGGGAGGAGGGAAGCTTTTAAGTGGACGAAGCCTTTCCTGATCTGGGGCGATGACACCATTCCCTATACAGTAACCAAGTAGATTGATAGAAGACTTGGACTCTACTGTCTTGTTTTCATTCAGAGTGAGGTTTCGGCGCTTTACAGCCTCTCTGAATTTCCTCACATTTTCGTCATGCCCGAACTGATCGTAGCCTGCAACAGTTATATTATCGAGATAAGGAAATGTATCGTTCAGGCCCTCCTCTTCTACGAACTTGTCCATCGCTCTTTGAAAAACTGCGACGCCGTTGGTTACTCCAAAGGGGATGCGACAGAACTGGTAAAGCTTACCATTGGCCTCGAAACCGGTAAATTTTCGATCGGCTTTCTTGATCGGTACCTGGTGATAGGCACTCCTTAAGTCGAACGTTGAGAAGACTCTATATGAAGCTAGGTTGTTGACCATGTTGTCGATACGGGGTAACGGGTATGCATCGAGTTCTGTGTAGAGGTTGACGGTTTGAGAATAATCAATGCAAAGCCGCTTCTTGTGTCGTTGTAGTGGGTCCTTTGATACGACGACTTGAGCCCTCCAGGGCGAGGTGCTAGGTTCGATTATGCCTTCAACGAGTAGGTGGTTAATTTCTTGTTTGATAAATTCCTGGTCTTCCCTGCTGAAATTCCGCGACTTGCTTGCGATAGGCTTACATTCGGGGAGGAGGTTCGCGAAGAGGGATGGTTCCTCAATAGATGCTGCTGCAAGAGCACATACAGGTACCCCGTTGGGTACTTTAAGTTCGGGCTTTTCCCCACAGAACTCAATGACAACACTTTTATGTTCCCTTTGAAAGTCCTGGCCAAGAATGATATCACTACAGAGATCCTTCAGTACCCCTAGACGTACAGATGAATAACAATTGGTGGCCTAGTTGGATGTCAACAAAGCAATGGCCAAGAACTTTGGCTTTAAGTGATGTGAGAGCCATAGACAAACTGTCATCTGACTTGAGTAATTTGAGGTTGAGCTGGTTAGCTACCTTGTCGTTGATGTAGCTATCTGAACTCCCAGAGTCAACAAGGGCAGTAAGAACAGTACTGTTGACACTGACTTTGGTGGATGCTTGCATAAGGCTCTTTGGACAGGCGGCACTTATGGAGCAGAGTGAGGCAGATCTTATTGATGCTGTAGTCTTAGTCCCTTTACAGCCTGAGACTGGCAAACTTTAGCGTAATGGCCAGTTTTACCAGAATTGTTGCAGACACAACTGCGTGCAGGGCACTCCTTTCTATTGTGAATAGGGCCGCCACAGAAATAACACTTTCTTTGGGGTTTGACTGCTGCTGACACATGGTTATCACTTGGTAAAGGATCCTCACCACCACTTTCAGTAGAAGTAGAAGCTGCCGAGTTTTCGGTTGGAGCATAGGCTTCAGAGTTTTTCTGGGCTAAGTCTAACGCGTTGGCCTGATCAAACGCCGTCTTCAAGTCGAGTTGCCTGTTCTCCAGAAGTCGTTGGCGGATTAGTGGTGATAGAAGACCATTAATAAATGAGTCACGGACTAATTCCTCCCTATATTGTTCTGCAGTCACACTTCTGACGTTACAATCCTTGCTTAACTTTTTAAGTTCCTGTAGGAACTCTGTAAGCGACTCACCAGGCTTTTGGCGCCTTGTAGCAAGTAGATGACGTGCAAATATTTCATTCGGAGGCTTGATATACAGATTATTTAGTGCTTCAATAGACGAGTCGAAGTCCTGACAATCTTCGATGTAATCGTAAACGTTGTGAGAGACATAATTGATGAGAGTACGGTGTTTGTTTGGGGCTTTATCGCCGCATTCTTGAATGAAGTTGTTGAACGTTCGGAGCCAATGTTTCCACTCTTTCGCGGCTGACGGCGAATTTGGGTCCAAGTCGAGACGTTGCGGTTTCAATATCGCTTCCATATTGAAGAATTTAAATAAAGTTAAATAAATTGTTGTAATTTACCATTCTCTGGCTTTATTTAACTTTAAAACACTACTTAAAATACTACAAAACAATAATATGGCGGATTATATATATATGAGTACCGCTGGTCTGAAGTACCGCAGATAGTGGCACAGGGAGACCAATACCAATAAAACAATAATACAACATTACACTAATAGACTGTGGATTATTCCAAAAAGAGTCGCAGAATTTAAAATTTTCGAAAATCCAATTTTAAAGAAAACAAATTTTTCATTTTTGGGAAAATATTTGGTCGGGCTGGGCCCGACCAGCCAGACCGCTAGCTACGCCACTGTGTGTATTGTCATTGTGAATTAGTGTGAAGTGTAATGTTTTAGTTGATCGTTTGTTTGTATTGTGAATAAGTCGTTTGTAAGATGCCGGTAATTGCTGTGATCTGTTCAGGGTGGTTTTTTCCAAGTTGCTACACCAACTTTCTAATGTAAGCCTTTGTTTATAGTCAGTACTGTAAGTAATGCATTTTGCCTAGTCCCAGTGAATGTTGTGCCTTGTGATTCGGTGACGTTTGGCAATGTGATTAGTTTTTGCTTGGTTTTTTTTTGTATCTTGTTTTTGTTCAGTCTTATGTTTAAGTTCCTGCCAGTTTTCCCGATATAGGAGGCGTGGCAGTCGGAGCAGTTTATTTTGTACCAGTGCACCTTGTCGTTTTTGGGTTGTTCTTTGTCCTTTATGTTCGTAGTTATATTATTTCCACAATTTTGGAAAACGAAGGGCCGACTTGACGATACCTGTCGAATCTGAAACATTAAATGTAATGTAAGCCTTAACGTTTAGGAATATATTAAACAACAATAACATTAACATAGCATCTACCACTTCATCCAAAATATTCACCATTCTCAAGTTTCAGTTCTTTCAAAGCTTTGTCCAATTTAAGGCAAATAAATGTCTTCGCAGGTTTGGCAAAACTAACTATATCACCCTCACTACCGTCTTCATTATTCTCACTTCCATTTTATTACTCTCACTACCATTTTTATTACTCTCACTACCATTTTTATTACTCTCACTACCATTTTTATTACTCTCACTACCATTTTTATTGCCATCTCCTTCGACTTCAGCAACAGCATACGCAAACGGTTTCCAATCATCGTTTCCATCCAAAAAGCAAACAAGAGCACCAGAGTCACCGTTCACAAAAAATGAGACATCACTTTGAACCTTGACTGCCTTTCTAAATATGGATTTTTTTAAATCTTGGGACCAATAACAATAATTGTACCCTGTGATCTTACTATGCTTGGACTTGTTGTTCACACTAATGCGTGCGTCGACGCATTCATTTTCCCGAACAACTCGTCGGAAAAGCTCGTCATTTGCATTTTTCAAATTTAATTGAAAACTTTTGATGTATTTTTTAAGGCACCTGTTAAAAACTGTTTCACCAAAAGAAATAAACATGATGTCTGTTTCTTTATCGAACCGCAAAACCGCATTGCGGCCACGGCCAAGTTGCACCTCACTGTCCATTTGAGAAGGTTTGTAAAAGTAAACCATGTTATATTTCATGAAGTTATTTCATGAAGTTAAAGCAAAATACTGTTCTTCCTTTCGACAAATCATTGTCAATGTACCACGACATCCAACGTCATTTTGATTCTTTCTTGCAGCGCGAAAATCAGACAGCAAACGAAAATTTGCTTTTTTAGGAGCTTTACGTGGCAAATCAATGTATTTCGAAGCTTCCCATCCAAATTTTCCATCAATCTCTTGCTTTATAATTTCATTCGATTTTTCTTGACTATCATCAACCATGACATATAAGTGAGGAAACGGCATCTTTTTGTTTGGGCGAGCTAATCCATACTTCCCACTAAGCCACGAACAACTTAAACAAGAAACGACAACTATATATTGTCCAAAAACTATTTTTCGTAATGTTCCGACATGCACAGGTCAACATACATAATCGATATCCTATGAAAGAAAAATTACCTTTGAAGAGCCTTGTGAACGTCAGCTTTAATATTCTTACTTTTGTCTAGAAGTTTATGGAAGTTGTCGTCATGATTGGCTTCTAAATATCATAAAAATATAAATGATAACTTTGGTGCACCAACATTAACTACGATGAAACTTCCATACGATAAGACATAAATAAGACTAAAAATTGACTAATCATATACATGGGATCATAAATTACTTTGCTCTGGATTTCTGGTTATGGTCATGATATTTTATACGCTATGACGTTAATCAGGTCATATTAATCTTATTCACAAGATTAGAGTTTTTTATCACGTTTTCGACATGGTATAAGAATGGCATTTACAGATTTTTGCACGTAACATAAACATAAAATACCCTTTGCAGAGTTACTGGTTTCGGCCTCAATGTTTTCTTCTGAGGCGTCACGACAAAAAATTCCTATTTGCTCTTAAATAACAGGTACGATAAACAATTATATCAAATTTTTACCATGGATACGATCATTTAATAAACTAATTTAAAGTATTTAACCATCAATAACAGAAGAAAGTTTTAGAATAAAAAATATCTGTGGCAAATGAAACGTTTATTTTTCATTTTCCCCCAAAAAATTAACATATGGTCATTGATGTACTTCTATATGTCTTTTAGACTGACAGCTACCCTATTATATTGCAGTAAAGAGGTCATCAGGTAAAAGTGAAGGTCTGTTAAACTATTTTCAGACAATATACCTTCAATTAGTTTGTTTGGTTTTAAGTGTTGCTTACTTTCTAGTCGCTGTGGTAAATCTTCTGGTTGTTGCTGCTGGTTTTTTTCTATTTCCAATTTGTTTTCTCGGAATTCTTCATGTTTCTTTACGTTTACTTTCTCCTCTTTACGTAATAAAATAGAAGAAAACAAATCTTACTTGGTCAATAAATACTATAAAAGTTTAACATCCAATAATGATTTTTCCCACATCTATCATACTTTTCAACAACATCAAATTTCCATTTAATGTAATGAATATACCGTTGGCTCTTGTCTTCCGTGGATCAGTTTTGCATTTTTTTAATGTTGGCTCTTGAATATCACCTAGTTTTGAATCAATTAAGCAATATTGAACAGAAGAAACTTCTTATACATGAATCGCAACAGGGGGTATTTTACTCATGAATTCACGAACAAGGAAAATATAACCGAGCTGTAAGCTATACAGAGTTGTGAAAATAAACTATACAGAACTGTCAAAAACTACGTAAATTTCACCCTTTTCTGTTTGTTTAATACCTTCAATATTTAGCTTTGACTATAGTGGAGGCTTTAAATTTTTCACTCAAGTAACTACATTGCACAAAGGTCGTTTAGTTTCTGAAATATTACCTGACAAAAACAAAAGTTGGCAAAAAACCGTGCGAAAATATTCGCTTTTTTCTGAGTTATAAGAAGTTCTAGACATGCCTACCTGTTTCTACTGCCAAAATATTGTAGTTCCCGGTTAAATACACAAACTATTAAAGTTTCCAAAAATTTGAATCATCGAATAAAGAGAAAAATGTGTTTTTAAAGAAGCATTTTTCATGTCACGAAAACACAAACATTGCAAGTACATATATAGCTCAGTGTGTCATAATGAAAAGTAAATATTCTCGCAAAAAAACTATTTGAAAAGCCTTTTTCATGTCATGTATAAATACAAATAACATATTTCATGTAAACAATGCATGTTCTTTTTTATGCATTAAATGGCTCTTTTAAAAGCACTTTGCTGGGCTTTGATATTTATGTTTAAAGTTCGCTTTCCGCCCGGTATATCCCTGGTCACATTTATAATTCAATGCATAAACGTGTCAGCGGGTATAAACATGCTATATAATACTTCATTTTATACTCATCCAAAGGGTAAAAGTTGTTAACATAATTGAAATAAATTTAGTTTTTTTAACATATTTTAATATGTGGTATCATATTTGATACCAGCGGTATTACAGTAAACTACATTAATGTAAATTGCTTTGCAATGAAAATACTAATTAATTTTGAAAAAAGAAAGTTGGTTAAGTAAAGGTTTTATTGAACATTACTTTGTTGAGGGGAAAAACTTTTTACTTATAAAACTATTTGTTATTAATACATCGTAAAACGTTTATTTAGTTAGCTTCTATAATAAATGAAAATACTAACCTTCGTTAAGGTCCATAGGTTCTGCAATGTAGAGGAAAATAAATATTATTTTCACATTTACTGAAGACATGTCAAATTAACTACCTAATTGCTGAAAACTGAGACTATATAGACAGAAAAGCTTTCATAAAATTAATTAATTTTTCTTCAATTCATCAAAACAAAGATGCACAAATAACAATAAACATTATCGATATTGTTATATTGCATGACTATACTAGGAAAATATAACTGAAAATATAACGGATTGACTGAGCCGTAAAACTTTTCAAAGAGCTGTACAAATATACTACACAGAGCTGTAACTAACTAACAATACTATTTCTTTATTATTGATCTTTTCATTTTCCTCGACAGTTCCCAGTAAAAAGTTGATCACGTGCTAGAGTTGCATATTTAAGCCAATTTATTTCTGCAATAATTTTGACGGCAGATTAATGTACTGAATGCAGGGTATATACTACACATAGTGACTCTTCCCAATATATTAGTTACAATGCTTTTTTAATCATCGAGGGCAGTGGAAAGAAAATTTTTGGACTTAATAATATTCACATGAATTTCCAACATGTTTACCTCCTTCACGTTTTAATTTCAAAGACATTTCCACTACCTCTGAGTCTACACAAACAAAACAAGTCATGGTTTAGTCATAGTTTAAGTTGCTATTGAATGTGAGCGTTAATATATTGTTAAACTCGCTCTGCCGGGTAACTCGGCTCCATATAAACAGGCCCTAAGAAAAAAAATTATGCAAGTATTTAATTTACGTGTCTTTCCATCAACTGTAACAGGAGACGCAAAAAGATTGAAACAAGTTGAGTTGCAATCACTTTAAAACAGGATAAGAACTTTCTAGTAGGCATAAATTTAGCAGTTCGAAATTGTTATGAGATCATCTGGCAATTGCGATGAAATATGAGTTATGTTTGATCCCATTTATCTATGCTTCAAGACCTGATATTTAAATTCTGTTTAAACAATATTACTATTTTGAAACATTAAATTCATTGCTTGACAACTTGTTTTGTCATGATACTTTGAACTCCTGATACTAACAACAGAACTGTCATTATTTGTGGGGGGTTGAAAAAAGGTTTAAACTTTAAGTAATATGTAAACTGTAAATAAGAAATATGATAAAAAGGCAGTGCATAGAGTGTCGTCACAGACATGATGTCTGCCACTCTCTTGTTTTGCATAGCCTAATTTCTCGGACAAATAAAATAACTCACCTTCAATGTTGAAAACAGACCAGTGAGACCTCTTCCAGAAAATTGTACAGCTCAATATTAGTGCAAACTAGATAGACAGTAATGATTAATTATAAACAAACATTAAAAATACTCACTGCAGATATATTTTCATTCAGTGACTCTGTCCGCATGAATTTAGCATAATAATAACGGAAACCAACAATTATATACTTTTTCGGAGCCCATTTGCAGATAGTTGAGGTGGTTTTTGATTGCATAACAAAATAATGTGTTAATGAAAACTATTAGTAAGAAATAGCTTTAGGTGCACTTATGTAAGGAATTCTCTTTTCAATAATACAAAAATCAGGTGCACTTTTACGTGAAAATACGATCTTTGGCCGACTCTGGCCAGCAAGGGTGCAAATTTTTCCAAAGTATTTTTTCACAACAGAGGAATGTTTTCAGGAAAATAGGCATGAAATTAAATAAGCAAATACTTGATTTAATAAAGTTAGATATAATTACTGGTAAACAAAATAATAGCACATGATAAATGCTTAAAATTTCTCAACTAAATAAGTCTTCATTTTCAACATATCACAAGTGCTTGATACCTTCATATCAATCACCAACAATTTACACATAAATTGATTCACTTTTCCTTGAGCTTCGAAGAAATAATCACAAACAAATTGCAACTTTATGCACTTTTGCATATTTACCAACCCATAGAGATAATGCATTGAACTAGTAAACCAATTCTTGATAATGAATAATGTTGTCTCATTTTCTCACAATAAGTTTGTATGTAACCAATTCATTCGTAACCATATGTAACCAAAAAAAGTGAGAAAAAAAATGTAAAAAAACACTTTTAGAAGTGGACTTAATTAAACAGCCCCGTTTTCTTTAATTGTTTATTTATGCCTCTCGTCTTTAGCACAAATAGCCCTATACAATACTCATCATGTTTGAGACACCACACATGTAGTTTTACAGCTTTAAATAAAATGAATTGTTTGGATTCATTCAAATAATTTATATCATTTAACAAATAATTGCATTTTTCGTGTTTGTACAGACAACGACATCATACTATACACAACGCCTGGCTATTCATGTTTGACAGTGCCTTACATGTGATTTTACGATTTTCATGTGCTACATAAACAAATTTTACATCTACGGGCCATATATTTTATGAAGCCAGCCAGGTATGAATTTGCAGGCCCTTTAAGAGTGCAAAAGCTGGGTGCATTGTTTATTCTTTATAATCATTTAAATTATTTACAGCAACATAAGACTGTGTCCACAGTTTATAATTATAAGTATCCAATTGTATTCAGTATATCAGTTTCACATTATCTTGTGCTAATTCCTTTACAACCATGAATAATGCTTCTCAGCAACAGTTTATTGTCTACAGCTGTAAATTGGTCAACTGTTCGATTGTTAAAATCACACTTTACAAGTGAAATAAAGCTCTTGTCTTTCTTATTACTACAAGACTCGAGACTGATGATCAAACTATTGCTGAAAAGGATTCTAATGTCAACTGCAATTTATATTCATACCATCCCTAACTACATTCATATCTTAAGAATAATTTTAATCTTTTTGGAAAAATATTTAAGGCATTAATATTACATTCATACTAACTACGATCTTTTGGAATTTGCTTAGCTCTTAGAAGAGGAAAATGAAATTTACTGAATGTAAAAAGGCAGTAATATTGTACATGGCTGGCTATATTGCCCAGATGGTGCAAAAGAGAACAAACTGTTCTGTTTGTCATGAAGCAGTCGGTTCAAGAAACCATAAAAATGAGTCTGCTTTCCTAACTTTAAAATACAGGGGTAATTTGTTTAAGCCAACAGCAAGTGTTATAGTAATATGCAATGAAACAGAGAGGTGCTTTCAGAGAATGTTGGCAGCTACAAATGGAAATTTACTGCAAGGGAAAGGAATTCCTGATGGTATTGCTATGTCTGTAATAAATGGTATAGATTTGAGGACCACATTCAAGGATCTCGATGCACACATGTTGAATACTAGTGTTCACGAAAATCATATTTACTTATTAAGACCATATCTAAATGTTACAGCAAGGTGCGACTATACCATTTGAGAAAATCAACTACAAAAATGGAAACTAAAGATAAAGTGCGAAAGAAACTAAATAAACTTGTCTTGCTTAAGCACCAGTAGTACTTTGCTCATGAAAAAATTAAGTTACAGCAAAAATAAAATGTCAGCAATCTCTCAACATAAAGAAAGAATGATAAAAAAAGTAACTCGTCTCATTTCTAAAGAATTGAAACGTATACTAGATCATAACTGCCTCAGAAATTGGAAAGCGAACAGTGAACTATCTTGCATTGGCAATGAAACAAAATATATTCTCGCATGTGCAACTTTTAAATCAACACTAAAGTCGATATTTTACAGCTATATGAATGATTTTGATGTCGAATCAATTCGCATAACCTGTTTTATCCATGACTAATACTTGAGGTTAGTAAGGAGTCGCGAAATGTCTTAAATATTCGAAAATCCATCTTTGTAAACGTTATCCGCTATACATTTCTATAGTAATTTGTATCTCGCCGTGTTACCCGGAAGTGAATTTTGCAAATATAATTAGGCTTCATTTTGCTACCTGTAGAAGCTATATCCAGTTTATTATCAGATCAGTGAGGTAAATCCATGACGACGGTCGTCTATGGGGCGCGAAGTGTTTCATTATTATTTACGGAATTTTTAATGTTTAATTTCATTATTTATTAAATAACCAAATTTTGTCAATTGATTATTTGATATAACCAAACTTATGCTAGTCCAAAAAATGGTTATTTGTTAAATAACCATGTTTTGGCAAATTGGTTATTTGAAATAACCAACCTATTACGTTTGGTTATTTAATAAATAATGAAATTAAACATTAAAAATTCCGTAAATAATAAAGAAACACTTCGCACCCCATAGTCGTCTACCAATAGAATTCCCTGAAATAGAAACGTTTAATAAATTGCCATGTTTATTTAGAAATTTCAATCATTAGTATTTAAACTGAAAACTGACACGCAGTTTTCTCTCTTTATAGGCCCGTTTACACGAGCAATTTTAACATGACAAGTTTTATACGAAAAATATATTTGACCGTGTAAACGAAACAAAATATATGTAAATATCTCTGTTCGCATAGCGATTGATGTATTGCCCCCATTGTAATCATGAACAGTTAATGAAGTAAATGGTTTGAGCCCGGGAGTATCGTTACATGTTTGTATGTATGGCAATGGTATAGTCCTGAGTGCCAAACATACACGACCAATATAAATTTGAATACAAATTGCAAAAGCATAAACATATAGGGCCTGTTCACACTGGTCGTTTAGATCGATCTGAGATCGATCTAACGTAAAGCGAGCTAAGTGTGAACCTTCGCTAAAATTTGAGATCGATCTCAGATCGATCTAAGTCAGCTCGCTTTGAAAGGTGGTCTGAGATCGATCTGAGATCGATCCGGTTTATATGTGAACGTAAGTGAGCTTATTTCGAAAGAACAGTTTCGCTCCCATGCCGTTTCCGCCAAAACGCGGACATTTTTCTCAAAATTTAAAATCAAAACAGAGAAAAAGCTTGGAAAATGGCGCAAAACGAGAGGTTTCGTCAGATAAAGACTGTTTAGCCCTCCTCTCAGCGTACGGTACAGAAGAAATTCAACAAAAGTTGAAAAGTACCCACAAAAACGCTGATATTTATAAAAAAATCAGCATTATAATGAAAAAAAAAGGGATAGATCGTGATTGGACGCAATGTAGAACTAAATTTAAGCATATGAAATCTGAATACAAAAAGTTCAAAGACACATTATCACGATCAGGAGCTGGGAGAGGCAAGGAACCTAAATTCTTTAACGTTATGGACAATTTCTTGGGTGACAGACCAGAAGCAAGGGGTCTAAAAAACGTCATCGATACATCTGATGAATCAACGTGTTCATCAGCTGATGCTGAAATAAAAAGCATTAACAGGCATGATGATGATGGTAAGTTATCGTGGATGAGTTGATATCGAGTGGTTTTTTGCAAATGAAAATATTGGTTTTGCGTTTCATAGCAGACGAGCTTACAAGAAAATACGGACACGGGAGGATCATTGAAAAAAAATGTCCTCAGTGCGATGAGTATGTGGAGCTTAGGACAGCAGGAGCCCATGTTGGAAACAGCACTGCAGTGTACGCTGATGATGACAGACTTGTTTGCCCATATTGCGATTACATTGAAGCAGGTAAATAGTAGAGCATTGCATGTGTGTACTAAATTTTGTTTTATTACGTCGTAACATTTATGAGATATGTTATGTAGATGTCAGTAACGCAGATGAGAAGTTACCTAGTGAAGCAAATGAGGAATCCCTACCATCTCAAAGTGAAAACAAATCAGTGCCAAGGAAAAGAATACCAAGGGGAAAGGCAAAGCCCTCCAGCATGCAAGTGGCATTTGAGAATGCAATGAAAGAGCATAACAAATATCTCAAGGAGTCCGATGAAATGTTTTTGTCAGAAATGAAAAAAGAAGCAGAAAAAGAGCGAGAGTTGCGAAAGGAAGAGCTTAATGTTTATAAGGAGTCAATGTCACTTCTTGCAAATGCAATAGCAATGAGGTCTCAGCCTGTGCAACAACCATTCTACAATGTTCACCATGATGCTGAAAGTCAACAAACATATTACAAACTTTGATTTAATTTAAGAACATGAGTAATTTAGCTATCATCAGCTTATTGTGTTATCAAAAACTCAGTTAAAGAATTTCTAATTTGCTCTGCACTTGCATCTGTATTCTGTAAAACAAATTCTGAAATTTCATCATCAGGGATAAGTTCAACATAATCTGCAAAAAGTTTGTCAGCTCTACTCTCACAAATATTGTGTACAACACAACATGCTGCAATTTTCATAGGCAAATGATCTAAATTTGTATAATTCTTGTTAAGTAGGCATCTGAATCTGTTTTTTAAACGACCAAATGCACACTCCACGACTTGCCTTGCTCGACTTATGTAGTAATTAAATTTCTTTTGAGCAGGACTGAGATTGCCATCGTTAGGATACCTCTTCATCAACCATGGTAACAGTGGATATGCTGGATCACCAATAAGCATGAATGGTACATTGCAACCACATATCTCTTTTCCTCCCTAGAGTATATCAAGACCATGAATTTTCTAGTGGCTTTTACCAAAAATGCAGTAAAATTTGCCTCTGACCTAAGATAAGCTTTTCATTATAAGAACAGAAAACTTACATCTGGGAAAAGTTTTCCTGCTTCAGCTTTTGCAAACACTCCCGAGTTTGACAAAACTCTTGCATCATGGACTCGACCTGGCCACTTTATGCAAATGTCAGTGAATCTTCAAAATTTTTTAAATATTTTTTTACTTTTTAAGTGTGTGTAATTTAATTCACTTTGTGTAACTTATTTACTCAACTGGTTGAAACACATGTCTAAATTAATAAGAAACCTATTTTACATCACTGTTGAACCCCCATGGGATCTAAAAACTGTTACAAGGTGAAAAATGGCAGTTGCATAACAGGGAGGCAAAAACTTATTAAGTCAACCTTGACAAAAGCAGTACGTTTTGGTACCTGTATTGATGATCAACAACAGCTTGGAGAACAATAGAGTAGAATCCTTTTCGATTGTAGTAATCTTGTGCAGAATTTGAAGGTGCTACAATTTGAATATGAGTGCCATCAATGGCTCCAGCGCATTGAGGGAAGCCCCATGTCGTTAGAAAGGCATCAACGATACTCTGCAGTCTATCGCCCGTTGGCCATTTGATAACAAGACGCAGTAACACGTCAACAATGGCTTGGCAAACCTCGTTCACGATTTCACAGGCTGTACTTTTTCCTATACCAAAACGCCAAGCTAAAGAACGCAAATCTTCATTGGTAGCCAAGTGCCAAAGACAAATTCCTACTCTTTTTGGCACAGGGATAGCCTTTCTGAAATTTGTATCTTCACGCAAAAGAGTGTCATTGATCTTGTTGCAAATGAAATCGAATGTTCCCTTAGACATACGAAAATTTTCTAGCCACAATCCATCATCTTTCCACATATCGATAGTTTTTTCCCAGAACAAACCGGTGCCTTTGCTTGCATCCACCCAGAAACGTCTTTCACTCATTAATTTATTTCCTAGAGCGCCAATAAACCAAAAATAAAACAGGCCGTCCCTTCTTTTACTTCGCTGCTTTCTCAGTTTCAAAAAATATTTCTCTCTTCTTACACGACGCATTCGCATCTTTTTGTGGTATTCAGATGTAATATTGAAAATGGTTGCGATCACTTCGTCCGCCATATTTGGATTGAAATAACATAAATACAACACTTTGTTGTCAAGGAAACTAGCTCGGCTCAGTGTTGCGTCAGATAAGTGTGAACGCTCGCAAAATTGAGCTTGGTCATTCACAAGATCGATCTCAGATCGATCTTCTCGGATCGATCTTAAAGTGAGCTAAGTGTGAACAGGCCCATAAACAACATCACGACAAACAACACACGAGGCTAACTCTTAGCAGTGCGGATCCAGACTACGTCAAAAAATATATTACTGCAGCACATTTTGGCGTATATTTACATTTCTAAACACAGGCTAATCCATTGGTAAAATTATATTCTTCAAAAATTAAAAACCAATCGGGTTTTTCTGACTGTAATTTAAATTTAAAATTGAGGAGCTATAATTTATTTTGACGTACACTGGTCCGCCACTGACTCTTAGCAAAACGTTATTTTTTACAGCTGAAACTTTACTACAGTGAGTTTGTTGTAACTTACAACTTGCAACGAAGAAAAGCCAACTGAAAATTACACTGTATGCTAAAAAGACAATACAATAAGAAAATCTGACGAGAAAATATTCAAGCAAAAATTTTTCGTACATCGAAAGGTAAATTTTCAAACGGTGTCAGACAGTGTTTGTGTCTTTTTTGGTCATTTCAGTGGATTTAAAGACATGTTTTTCCGAAGAAAAAAGAAATTTGAATGTCCAGTTTCATAAAAAGTATTGAGTCTCTAACTCGCATTTTTAATTTTTTCAGAGGGATTGTCATTTTCATCGACTTGATCGTGCTTGAAATACTAAATGGTTGTCATCTCGATTTCAATAATTGAATATACTTAAAGACTTTGATATGTTTTAAAGGAAAACCGCAGCTTAAGAGCAGATCGACGTAATAATACTTTTGCACTGAGGATGATGTAGAATTGAAAGAAGTATAATTCAAAAGATTTTCTTCTTGAAGATAAAACTGACTAGTAAAATGAAATCAACTGAGGTCAAACTAAAGATCTAGGATCCGAAAAAATACAAATTGTTTGTAAACACGCGAGAAACACGAGTGAGACGAATGATGACGAAAATTTTTTTATGCTTCAATTTTTGGCTTTGGTTATCATTCCAGTTATTTAAATATTGAGTTCAGAGTGAACAATACGTTCGCCATAAAAAATGGTATGTTTTACTTTTCTCAGGAAAACAGCTGAAAAGAGATGAAGTGAACAAATTGACATAAAAATATGATATGACTAACCGATGCAGCAGAGTACTGTACTTACGTACGATAATTATGTACGTGCATAAATGATTGATTGTTGTATTGTTTATTTGTTTGTGTGAATTGTGAATATTTAGTTTCAAATGCTAAAGTTCAACAGTGCACGATTGTGAATGAATATCAATTCATATATAAATCATAAACTATACAATGCCATTGTTTTCAATAAACTCAAAAGGATAGTTTCTTTCTTCATCCCATTCCAGCCCAAATTTCATTTCATCATTTTTGATGCTAACCCAAGGCATGAGGTCATTTCTAAATGCCTTCCCAATATTTCCATGTCTGTCAATGCCAATTCCTCCTGCGCGTTCGTCAAGTTGGCTATTTTTAAGCAAATCCACAGCATCCTGTACAGCTTCCTTTTATGAAAAAAATAAACAAAAGTTAAAACAAAAAAGGGAATATGGGTATTGGTAAAAACTGTATTGTTAAAATTTAATTTTATAAATTTCTTATTGGACGGTGTTTTATCACGATATCAAAAAAAAAACAGCAGTTGACCAGTCTTTGAACACTGTGATAGAAATGTTAGAAATTGACAAAGATATTTTTAAGGCTTAAAATGTTAAAAAAAGAGGGATTGTTTGTCACAGGATTTTCGTTGAGATTTGAAAAGCAACAAAAGAGTTGGGAAATAAGTTTTTAATTTAGAGAAGAGCTTGAGATTGCATGTTCAGTGCAATCAAATGTTCTGCCGTGTACACGTGTTAATCGACAGCAACATTTTCTTCAACAAAAACATGATTGAGTTTGGGTTTGATATTCTTTTATCTATAAGTTGATTTCTTAAGGTTTAACAGTTTGAGGCATGGTCCTTACAACAAAACGAAGTCTATTTGCATGGTGGTGAGAAAAATCAGAACACTTTCGAATGTAAAGCGACTTGAATTTGTGTCACAAAAAGTGTTGAAAAAAAACTTGACTAAATCATATAATGAAATAAGTTGAACGTATCAGTTGATAAAATTGAATGGACTTGATAAATCACACAATTTTTCTCCATGTCGTAAGTTTCATAACCTTACACAAAAAAAGTCAATAATACATAAAATACAATACATCGAAACAATGAAAAAAATTTTAATATTTTGCATTACTTGGGCACTTCCTGCTTCCATGTGAAGTACAACTTGTCTTGCAAAGTTCAATTTTAGTTCAGTTGCTGCAGCTGCTCCATAATTATTTGCATATCCCCCACAACCAATTAATGCAGTGTCACTAATAAAACCTCCAAAAATAATGATTAATTATAAATATGATGACATGTAGGTGATGTAGAACTGAATTCATGTATGATTTTTTATTATATAAATACGACCTGTATATTTAGTCATTACCTGTTGACGTTGCACATGCCAACTTGCCATCTCTATCAATCGCAACAGCACATGCACAATCGCAAGTGTCAACTTCGTCAGGTCTAATTTCAGGCGCATCAACAGTAAAATATTCTCTCCCTAAATATCTCATACAAGCATTGAAATATTTAGGTGGAAGACGTCTTTGTCTATTTAACAATTCATTCGGTTCGCACAAATCCAATCCATTATCCTGAGCAAATTTCAGAGCATCATCACCACTAAGAACATAATGTGGTTTATTTTCCATTATTTTTCGAGCAAGACAAACTGGATTTTTGACATTTCGACCAGAAATTACAGCACCTACAGTAAACAGAAAAGAATTAAAAAGCTTTTTACACTGATTACTCACAATTTGAAGAGTACCAAGTTTATTCTCGAGTGATATCATGAGATTTGCTTCGTACAAAATGTAAACAGCATGTATCATGTTTGCCAATTTCTAATGAAGATGCAGCGGGAAATACATTTTGGTTTTATTTGTTATCAAAAAATTCAAAGTTAAAGTATCACAAATGTATTTTAACCTGTTTTTAAAGTGTGTCCATCCATAATCATTGCATTACTGTTCAATTGAGATCCACGACCTATCATGAATAAGTCACTGCTCTCTAAAATACTAACTGCCTTTTCAACAGCATCAACAGCAGTGCCACCATTCTGAGGTGATAAAAATAAACATAATGTTAAATGCAGTTAATAAAAATTCTGACGAATTTTTTTAAACGAGTTACTTACCGTTAAGACTGCATATCCCTTTCTGGCTGATTCTTTCAGTTTTTCAAGGACCTCATTACTGATATGTTCTTTAACACGGTTGCTATAGACTCCTCCCATGACAATAATTGCGGGGGCTCCATCGAAATCTTAAAAAATTACCCATTATTAAATTTGATGCGTCACTTTAAAGCTGAGCGATTTATAAAATTGTATGGATGATGTTGTTTGCTGATGACATAGATGAATGTGCAAAAAGTAAATTTTACGAATAAAAATAATGTGAACCTTCGAGAGTTTTGCGGTCTTCTGAACAAGAACTACATCAAATACTTGTCAAGTTGTAGCATATTTGATTTCGTTGTCATGATTGTGAAATGACAAAAATGCAAATAATTGGTGACAGAAGAGTCTCCCCAGAAATTCAAAATAATCTTATCAGCTGTCTTGATTCAATTATTGAAAAAGATGAAATCAGAAAGGAAATAAATGATTGCATATTTATGAGTATTCAGGTTGATGAAGCATCTGATGTGTCCACCAAAGAGCAGCTAAGTGTTATTGCTTGGTTTGACAAAGCAAGTGAAATTATTGAAAGGCAATTAGGACTTGTGGATGTAAGTATGAACAAAAATGCCACAGCATTATCACAAGTTGTCAAAGATAAACTTGGTGAGTGTTCTAATATAAAAGAAAAATTGGTTTTGCACACATATGATAGTGCTTCTGTCATGTCTCGCCATATCAATGGTGTTCAAGCATTGGTTCGACAAGAGTATCCTTTTGCCTATTTTGTTCATTGTGCAGCTCTTAGTTTGAACCTTGTCCTACGCCGGTCAGCCTCATCAATTTCTCCTGTTAAAATCTTTTTCATTAATATAGGTGCATTTAGCACGTTTACAAGCAATGCTTTGCCCAAAAGAAAAGCTTATCTCACATCAAACAACCTTGAGTTTCCTGCCCCTAGTGAAACAAGATGGTATTATCGCTCTAGATTAATCAATGTATTGCACAAAAACTATGAAAAAAAACTTTTAGATATTTTTGAGGGGGTACTTGAAAAACCAACTGGATGGAATGATGAGTCATTAAGTAAAATAAGTGGCTAACTGCATTATCTTGATAGCTTTCTCTTTTGTTTTGTAGAATATTTAAGAAAAGTGGCACGTACACAGCATTAGTTTGTTGTTACATAGCTATTTACCGTTAAGATCAGGGTAATCAATAACAGCTTCGCTTTTCTTTCTAATGCATTCTTCAAGTTTGAAAGGATATACACTGTCTAAAAAATGTTTGCAACAGCAATATACTGAAATCAAAACATACATGCATTAAGTACAATAAATGAAGAGGAGAACTAGAGTGAAAATAACAAATATAGTGTCATGAACCGCTAATTTATAGCTTGGCCATCAAAAATAAAAACTAATATCTGTGTCTTACTTGGAAAATGTTTCTCTAGATCAGGTCTTGCTTTCCAGTCACTCAATCTTATGGCTTTGTGAACTAGATAAGGCAGTTCCTCAAAAAGTTGAAGAAAATACTCTTGATAGTTTCCATCTTTAACACATGATGACAGTTGTGGACGAGGTTTATCATGCCAATGCTGGCGAACGTTTCGTAAAAATCTTAGGCAACCTAACCATGTAGAGTCGGATACTTCATTGAAATGATTAAAGAATTCAGGATCGATACGGTCCATCCAATTTATTGAAAGATTCAACTGCTTACGAAGATTTGAGGGAAGAGAATGTGGAGATGATGTCTTTATTTCTGGTTCATTCACAACATCACACAGAAAATCGAAATTGTCCTTATCGCTTTGTAGATAAGGGTGTTTCAACGCTTCGTTGGCCAATGGTCTGTCTTCCGGTTTTAGCTGTAGCATCCACGATAAAAGGTCTTTGAGCGTGGCATCCTTGATTTCGTCCAAGCCAACTGGGTTTCCATTCAAAATGTTGTTCAGTCTATGCCGTTCAATTCCAAAAGGATGTTTCCCCTTTGTTGCAACATAATAAGCCACCATTCCGGCATTCTATTTTCAATAAAAAATGGAGTTAATTTATTTGTTAGTTGCAAAAAATACAAGTTCAGTTCGAGAAAAATCAGAATAATATTCTCTAATTAAGAATCGTAGCCACAAACTTTTTAGAGCAATCTAAATGAGAGACATACAATCGTAAAACCAATAAGGCAATAACAACAATTCATCATCATACATGTACATATTTTTATATTTTATACAGTACAATTTGGATTTCGCCACAATATGACTGTGCAATGAAGGTAAACAAAAATTTTATTTAAAAGTGATAATGATATCAGTGGCAGTGATAATGATATCCCTACCAAATACAACATTCAAATGCAAACACAACATTGACCTGTAGTTGGACCTCTATTTCTACTTCATGAACTTACCATAACGTCAGACTCTTTTTTGTAACGAACTTTATCAATTGATTCATCTGATGCGTCATATGACTCTGGAGCTATCCAACCTTTAGCTCCTCTTTGTATGCTTCGATGTGTCGAAGTTTCATTTAATAATTTTCGACTTATACCAAAGTCAGCGATTAAAAAATTTCCATCCACATCTCGAAGAACGTTTGATGGTCTTAAATCCCGATGAAGAATAGGACACGGACCACTGTGAAGGTGAACTAGACCATTCAAGATCTGAATAAGAACTTTAGGAACGACTTTTTGAAGATCTGAATATGACGAAGATTTCACATAACTGTCTAACGATTCCTCGCACAAATCTAATATCAAATACAAATATTCTGTGCCTGGGTCTTCAAGATACCAATAATTCACAACATAATTTGAAAGCTTTAGTTTCAACTCATTCAAAATATCTTTTTCTCGTTTGGCTAACTCCGCGCAGCTATCTCGAAGCAATCGTTTTACGGCTTTTCCATAACCATCTTTTCCGAGTCCAAGGTAAACACGAGTTCCATCACTTCCTTTACCAAGCAAAAACTCTTCAGAACAAATAACCTTTACACCATTTACAAGTTTAACTTTTCTTGGATTTTCCTGCCCATATTTCTCCATCATTCTGAACTTTTGCTGGTGCATTATTGATTTATCATAACATTTCCATGGTTGAGACAGCAATTCTTCAATTAAAAAGTAAAGTAGACTATTTAGAAAGGAATAAATCAATGTATCAAGAAGCAATTTAATTTTCTAATTATACGCACATCAAAAAAATGTGGCTATTAGACAAGATTTGAAATACCTACACCGCTTTGCCCGTTAAGGTGAACTGACTTTTATATTTAGCTACTAAATAATAACATAACATAACAACATGTTTTCCTTGGTTTCAATTTTTGGTTTAACAGCGTATTTCCCTGCTCCCAAACACACGGATGAGGGATATTTAGTTCAAAGGACGTTGAGGGACGTCAGGATCTTTTCACTTTAAATACGGAAACATTGAGATTGAAAAATCAAAGATGAAAGCATCTGTCGAGGTGAAAAGAGTTCGGAGAATTAAAGAACCGAATGTTTTTAAGGTTACCTTCTGAAAAGCTTGAGTTTTTTACCAGAATTATTGGCTTTTTATTGGCTATCAATAATCAAATAATGTGTTTTAAAAGGATGTTTTCAACAATAATCTATTTAAGTTAATTTGTGTACGTGTAACGTATACATGTAACTGACACGTTTATCAGGATGGTTTTCACAATTTACTTTTAGCATCATAGCCAGTTTTCACTTTCTATACATACTGATCAAATTTCTATGTTTACAAAGTTTAAAATTTTCACATGATTTTGATCCACAACATTTGCATTATTTTTGAATTAAAAGATTTTAGTTGGCTACATATAACGATACCTTTTAAAATTAATTTATTAGGTTATAAATTATTGTTTGTATTTAGCATTGAAAAACATGGAAATGTTTGGGCAAATGTTTTTAAACAAAATTCTTTTGCTTACCTGGTTTTGATGTGGAAGGCGAAACACCAATGATGACTTCACTGTTATTATCATCTAATAGATAAATCAAATTAATTTTTTGCAATGCAATTAAATAACATTACAGCATGATGACAAATTCTAAAACTCTCTTATCTGACCCTTTACAAACGTATGAATGATACGCATGATATAAACTACTCTTAATTGTTTGTGTTTGACTTTTAAAGGAAATGTAAAGATTTTTGTGCAAATGTTTGCTAACAAAATACAATTTCTTACCAGGTACTGCTGAAGAAGGAGTTTTGTCAATGTCGTCATAGTCGTTGTCACTCATGGGAGATGGCAAAGACATCTTTTCGTAAGAAGCTGAAAATTAATGCATTACATTACACGGTTAATACATCATAGCATGATAGAAGGAATACTTGCTGAATTATTTCACTCTTCATTACATCTCACATTTTTGACCGTTAACAAAAGTATGTGAATAAGGAAGATATAAACAAATCTCAATGGTTACATTGCATTCTTGTTTGTACTTAACATTTCAAAAGGCAATAAAGATTACGTTTGTGTAAATATTTGTATATAAAATTCCATTACTTACTAGGTCCTGATGTAGACGCAATACTCATCATGTTTGAGACACCACACATGTAGTTTTACAGCTTTATATAAAATGAATTGTTTGGATTCTTTCAAATAATTTATATCAATTACGAAATAATTGTATTTTTCGTGTTTGTGTATAAAACAACATCATACTATACACAACGCCTGGCTATTCATGTTTGAAAGTGGCTTACATGTGATTTTACGATTTTTATGTGCTACATAAACAAATTTTACATCTACGGGCCATATACATTGAGTTCTATAAGACCTGGAGGGGAAAAGGGGCCTGGACCCCGTGGTCAAAAACATGGCGGTAATGGTGGATTTTGGTTGTCAAAACTTCCACTTTGAGAAAAATTTTTAACATTTGCTCCCTCCCGAATCCGGATTTTTTTTACTGCTTATATTAATGACAACCAGCAAAAACCACCACGATACCGTAAGCATAAATATTGAAAATAATGCTTCAGGTTTTTGTGAAATAGACCCACCAATTTAAATGAGGAAAATCTACAGGAAAATAATGTATATTTTGTCAAGTAATGCTTTAGCTATATTAGAAATATCAAATGGCATTCTTTACACTGTCAATGTGTTGTTAAGCTTTAATGCATAATCCCATGCGCAATACTTGTGTTTTGGACTGTTTGTGAACAGCTTGGTGCAACTGTCTTTCTTGAATAGATGGGTAAATCTTAGTTAAAATGTCCAAAAAGGAGTTAGAAAAAGTTAGCTTACCCCTACGACTTAAGTCGACTGGAAATATATTATAAGTAGGTAATGTAATTTTTTTGAGTTTTTTTTGGTAGGATTGATTCTGGGTGTCTTATAAAGTATTATGATATTCTGATAAATCTAATGACAACTTATGAAGAAAATATCTTGAACATAAGAGAGCAAAAGAACGAAATTCAGAAATTCTATAATCATGTTGCTGGTTCTGTTTTGAGCCAAGATATTAGAAACTGGATTGTCATTGAAAGCCATGGATCTACTACTGAACAGAACTACATTACTTTCCCATTGAAAATACGATTTCTTAAATTAAAGTGCATTGGTTTCTCTGACATAACACTTTTCTTATTGATAAAAGTTTTTGTGCTTGGCATTGATATTTTATATAATCGCAAATGTGGTTGTCAAATCCGGGTAGGCGAAAAAAATTTTATTTTATGAGCCCACGTCTTTCCGCTGACCTTGACAACCAAAATCCGCCATGTTTTTGACCACGAAGCCGTGCACTAATAATTTATAGTAATTTTGTTGACGCTTCCCCTAGTCTTATAGAACTCAATGGCCATATATCATTGGCGATATTAAAGTTAAGTGCGATTTCTAGAGTATCAGTAAAAAAGTTTTTGATTTGATCAAATTATTCCATTTTTATGGCGGTTTAAAGTTGTGAAAATGCCCTTTTTGATGGACGATGTTCGTCTTAAGAAAATTATGGGAATGCAATACATTTCCAATGACCAATTCAAAGCCATATAAATAAAATTGTTCATGTATCGTCTGTTTTGTCATATCAAATTAAAAAACGAATAAACACGTGGCGGGGGAAATAAGAAAGACTTATTCTAAACCATGAGCATTTCATATTTTTACTATGTCTCTAAAGTTAAACTAGAGTATTTTGTATATTCTATAATTCTTCTTAAGTCGATATTTATTGATAAAACTTACTTTTTAAATTTGTCGTCTTCTTGCCAAATGATGTCTTCTTGCGTCTTCTAGCCAAATGATGTAACTTAGCGAGTGTCGGGTTTCAAACAAACGTTTGCAGGTAAATCCATGACGACGGTCGTCTACCAATGAAATTCCCTGAAATAGAAACGTTTAATAAATTGCCAGGTTTATTTAGAAATTTCAATCATTAGTATTTAAACTGAACACTGACACGCAGTTTTCTCTCTTTATAGGCCCGTTTACACGAGCAATTTTAATATAACAATTTTTATGCGACAAATACATTTGACCGTTTAAACGACACAAAATATATGTAAATATATCTGTTTGCATGGCGATTGAGGTATTGCGCCCTTTGTAATAATGAACAGTTACATGTCGATTCTTCATTTTACGACGTACTTTTAATGCAATGTTTGTGCAAAAATGGCATCTGATGCGCGATATATTTTTTGCTACTTTGGCTAGCAATATTGTGATACATCACACAACATCACACTATCACACTCGAATGACGTAATGTCCGCACTGTCGCATTCGCCTTTCTCCCGAAAATACTCGATGAAAACTCTCCTCACTGACAATTTTATCCATTCCGTTTGTTTTTACGTCTTAATACTCTATAATTCGAGCAAAAACAGTTTGCAAAACGCTTGCAAATATCGAGCAAGAGTCTGTCATTATACTTTTTTATTTACAATTTTGCATAAACAATTATATAATATGTCACCTATAGCAGTGTAGCTAGGTTCTTAGCCAATTGCAATCGAGATTGCATAATATGCATAATAATAGTATTTCCCAAGACTTCTGACTGGGAAAAGCCAAAAGTCATTTCTCACTGGATCACTGGGGAAAGCCGAAATCATTTCTGACTACGGAAAGCTGAAAATATGTCGAAGCGCAGGCGTAACAATTGTCAATCGGTTGACGATTTGCGAAAAGATGTCAACGAGGAACTACATCAAGAATATGTGGGGTCGAGGATATTAAGTGATATCCAATCTATTAATTTGAAAGTCTGCAATGATCTAAATGTTGATGTAATTCTGTTTGTTCTTGTTTTGAAATATGGGTTGTCACTTGTGTGCTCTATTGCCAATGTTGCGTCTTCTTTGCTTGTACTCCCCGTAAATGTATGCCAAGAAGTGTTGGCTTTGGTATGTCCCAATTTAGAAGAAGAAGATGGAAATGTTCTTTTACAGTCCGCTTCTAAATTAAAAGTTCCTAGTACAACCGATAGGAAGTTGCATGTATTTACACCTTCATGCTCCAAATGTATTAAGTGCAACCATGATCTTGTGAGCTACAATAAGCCAGTAAAAGTTCAGGTACACGATCTTTCTGGAACTACCGATGGAGTGAAAGTTTCGCTTAGATGCAATCGCTGTAATTTGCTTTATGGATATTCCAAGTACGGTAATGGGAAAGATGGCTGGATGTTATATCCCGAACAAAGAAAAATGATCAAGGCTACGGATGTCTGTTTTGTTGATTCAACTTTGCTTCAGTGGCAGCTGTCACTCGCGTAAGGTACAATATAATCACTTGATTAATTAATGTTAAAATAGCAAGTAGATTTTACAAATGAAACATGTTTTCTATAGTTGTCATTCGTGGGTATCATTTAACGGTTTTTCTGAAGCGTTTAATGAAGTATACAATGGCATAAGAGAACGATATGTTGTAGATCTGTATTACTGTTATCACGTTGTTACAGTTTTTGATGGTAAGCATTATTTGCGTTTTATATAAAGATTTTGGAGAGAAACAAGTTGCTGCTTCATTTTGGGTCGGCGAGATGGAGAATGAGTCGAGGGAATTGGGGCAACTGGACTTTTTTGGTTTGCTTAAAGAAGATGGGGACTCTTCTAGGGTACTAGAACAAATAGACAAAATTAGGGCGAGAAGTTTGTACGAGCATACATCAGACGATTGTCCTGATACTTGCAAAGAGCGCGGTAAGTTAGATGCAATTGTATTTTAAAATTAGTTTAAAAGCTATAAATATATTTTATTGGAAAATAGCTGTGATTCGCATCAGGCTAAGATATTTTCGTAATCAAACTTACAGGATGTGAAAGGCTATGGGTTGCCTATGGAATATGGAAATTAATGTTTCCTCATTGCATGATGCGTAGAAAGGTACTTATCTTAGTTTGATATAACATTACTCCTTTGCTTTTCGTAACTTAATAATATTATATGAAATTGTTTTCAGAATTTTGTAAAAGGTATTACATTGCTGAACTATCCCAATGTATGCACTGAGTCGCCTCAGCATGGAAAGGCATTCTGCGAACAGCATGTGCAATATTTGGAAAAAACTTCCTAATGTACCCACTAGTGTGCGTGGATTTTAAGATATTGTGGTGTGAAGCCAAGTAACATAGGTATGTACTCCAAAATTGTCATGACTATAATCATGCTTGAGAATAAAGTCCGATTTTTCATGATCAATTCGAGATACATTAACAGAGCTTTTACACTTAATCACAACTGCTCTTGCTTTGGTATATAGTATTTTGCAGGAAATTGGTACCTTTCTCTAAATTTATCTCAATGATATGTGTATTACAGAGCTGACAGAAAATTACTACAAAGAATTACTCTATTTTATAGGTGAAGAATTGATTGACGACACAGGTCTGCTTTCTAACAATGACGTGTCAAAAATGGACGAAACACTGGGAAAGCTTGATAAAGATGACGACACTTTTCCAGTAGGAAATAGTGTTGAGGAGTCACAAGGTATATTTGTCTAAAATTTGTTTACTTCGCAATATGAAAAACAGTTTTACATTGTAGCTAATATAGTAATATATCAGTGAAACCTAAGTTTTCCTACTAACGTAAAAGTGGTCGTTAATGACAGTTTGAATTTTTTTAACCTCATCCACATTATATATATGATGAAATTTCAATACATTGGTACCGATAATTAATAACTTATTATTTTTTTAAGATAGAAAAATAACTTTTTATGACAGCATTTGGATTATAGTTATACATGCACGCGTGATGGTGGGGAAATTGTTACTTTGGATTATTTTGATTTTGCGTGCTTTTTCTTTGCCTTCTCGCACTTTCAATGTTTATAAAAGTGTAGCGTCAAAAGTTTCAAGCCTCAAGTCTCAAAGTCATTCTTTTGTAAATGAAAACCAAATCTCTTGACAAATTTCTTGTCGGTTAGAACTTAGAAAGCCTTGTGTAGGTGTTTCATTCTTTTTGAACTATGCATGGAACAACAAAGCTGTGTATTGTGTGTCGTTTCTAAACACAATTGATAACTAGTGCTAACGCTAATTTGTACCATATAGGCAATGCTGAGTTCGTTAATAATGAGCCAGATGCAATTAAAGCTATTTTAAGAGATTGTGTTGAACAAACAAAAACAAAATCCAATAAGGAAACTCGGGGAAAACAAAGACTTCAAAAGTGGTTAAGAGGGCATTTGTTTATAGTTAGAGGAGGAGGAATAATCGATAAATGGAGTCCTCTTTATAGGTAAGCACAGAGAATGCTTGACAAAAGCGCATCTTCAGAAAAACTTTCTATTTATTATACATTTACATAGCAATTAATTTTTTTCAGATCTGAAAGCCCTTCTCAAGTGTTTTTGATAACTCTTTCTTGGCTGCGCATTATGTTAAAGGAAATCAACCCAATGAATTGGAGTTCCGTTTTTTTTTCATATGACAATGTGCCACCTAGATGGCTTACAAGCAGCGAAAAAAGTTTTGCCATGGTCTCAACCATGGGATAAAGCATGGCTTTCAATTCGTAAAATAATTGAGAGCCTTCATATCAAAAATCACAAAGACGAGAAATGCCTGGAGAAATACAATCCTTTGCCTTTAAAAACTGAAATCCCAAATGGAAGTACAATGGCTGCTGAACAGACTTTCGTCTGGCTTTCCAGGTTTAAGAAGATACTGTGTGCTATGCCCAAAGTGCATCATTTGTTTTATTTACATAGAATGGTAAAGCACAGAAACAAATATACTGTTAAATGCTATAAGACTGGTAAAAAACCTCTTTTACCAATCGTTCGTAAGACGGAAAGCTAATTCATTCCCTTTTTATTTACGCATCTGTAATTGGAGATGAGCAATTATATATGCATGGTCGATTATCTACAACAAACGAATAATAGTCATTTTTACTAGTATTGAATTGCGTGGTTCATTCAACCTTCATTTCTTTCAAATTTTATTTTATCACTTTATTTTTATTTTATTTTTATGTTAAGTTATGTTTTATTTTATCATTTTATTGCGTTTCGATTAACCTGTTTTGACTATTAATGTTCATTTGAAAATCACCCCCCCATTCCCCCCCGTTAGGTATCGTCGATTAATCGAATTGTCTCATCTCTAAATATAATCAAGCATTCCTTTGAACAATTTCATCACAATTCCTAGTTTTTTCAACAAGTTATATTGAAAAAAACATACAACATTAGTATTAAAAAATCAAGTTTCATTAAACGTTCAATTAAAATATGTACATATATGCCAGTTAGTGGTCACTTGCTGTTAGTTCCTCCGCAACTTCGACAGAACCTTAACTATTACTATATGTAACTAATGTCTAATTAATTTACCAAGGATCAGTGTCTGGTACAGGTTTAAGTTTCAACAGAATCAAGAGACCATGTCGTAATAACTGTTTCCTGGACATTAAAAAATTGAAAGAATACCTTCTACATGTCAATGGTGCCTTAACTCAAATTGATATACTTCTGCAATTTACAAAACTTTATAGCTTATTTTAAACTGTGATGCAATCTTTCTTATTTAGAGTGAATTACATACTGAATACTTTTCTCTTTTAATTGACAGGAAAAATCAAAATTATTGGCAGACTGAATTAAATTTCTTTTATATTGGTCATATTACACGTAATTTGAACATATCTTTCAAAAACATACACAAGCTCTAACATCATGAATATTTTCTTTTGATCAAATTTTTAATATTAGCTAAAACCCAAGCTAGCAGTATGATAATGTACAAAAAAGATGTTTGCAAATCAATGCAGGAATATGAAGCATTAATGTTGATTGCTTAACTAGTGAAATTGATAAGTATATCATGCATGAAAAAGCATTCTTTTAAATTAGACGAAATCTCTGAAATCTCTGTTTAACAAATAGATGAGTGTAAGTAGGAATTGTTTCAAAATCTGAAGTGCACAAATATAACACTGAAAGTATTTTTATGCTTTTACACTGAGAGTGTTAAACGTCCATCAAGTGAAGTACCCATTTAAATTTCCTTTATATTGGTCATGGTGCAAAAGTGTCACATGTTGACGAAAAACATGCACCAGCTATAAATGACATGAATATTTTATGCGCCTTTTCATTATTGAACAATTGTCAATAAATGCATGGACAAGATAATGGAAGATGCATTATGATGCATCTTTAAAAACTGTTGAACTTTATTACTGTGGCTGGAATATTCGATTGTTAAGAAATATGCGTTAACTCAAAAGTGAATGATTTTAGCTTTCTGTCATATGAATGAGGGGTAAAAGGGTTTTTAGCCACTCTTGTAGCATCTAACAGTGTATTTGTTTTATAGCACGCAGTATTTTCTTGAATCTAGTAAGCCCGACAAAAGTCTATTCGAGCCAATGGTTCAAGCAGTCAAAGCCATTGTGTATCCATTGATCTATGTGGGGTTTCATTTTGGGAAGGCAGTGTTGGCAATTGGTGTTCAGTTGCCAGATCGTAAATTAAGTTCATAGATTAGTGAACTTTTGACGAACACTGAAATATAGTTTAGTGAGTTTCTTTTAAATTTTACGAAATTTTTAATAAAAAAGTATTCAATTCTAACGACTGGACTGTAATACCTCGACAATGGTCCAAAATCATTGAAAATTTCTGAGTTAATCAGACGTGTTCCAGCAATTTCCAATGTCAAAAGTTAATATAAAACTTTTGACATAAGAGAACATGAACATTTCATCTAGTTGAAGAAAGGCAGGAGACTGTAGTTTCCCATCTTTATGATTTCTGATAATAAATATGTCAATTATTTTATGAATTTATCACAATGCTTATTTCATGACAAGACATAACGACACTCGAGTGTGGTTCTGTGATCAGTCACAATATTGTATTCTCATGTGATGCGCTATTACAGTCCATTGTGATGTAATGCGATACATTGTAATGTTGTGATACATTGCAATAATAAAGATGATGCGTTGTTATGCATTGTGATAAATTGTGATGTATTTTGATGTAGTATGATACATTGTGATGTAGTGTGATGCATTGTGATACATTGCGATGTAGTGTGATGGATTGTGATACATTGTGATGTAGTGTGATGCATTGTGATGCATTGTGATACATTGTGATGTAGTGTGATGCGTTGTGATGCATTGTGATACATTTTGATACATTGTGATGCATTGTGATGTAGCGTGATGCATTGTGATGTAGAGTGATGGATTGTGATGCATTGTGATGTAGTGTGATGCATTGTGATACATTGTGATGTAGTGTGATGCATTGTGATGCATTGTGATGTAGTGTGATGCATTGTGATGCATTGTGATGTAGTGTGATGCATTGTGATGCATTGTGATGTAGTGTGATGCATTGTGATGCATTGTGATGTAGTGTGATACATTGTGATGTAGTGTGATGCATTGTGATGCATTGTGATGTAGTGTGATACATTGTGATGTAGTGTGATGCATTGTGATGCATTGTGATGTAGTGTGATGGATTGTGATACATTGTGATGTAGTGTGATGCATTGTGATACATTGTGATGTAGTGTGATGTAGTGTGATACATTGTGATGCATTGTGATGCATTGTGATACATTGTGATGCATTGTGATACATTGTGATGCATTGTGATACATTGTGATGCATTGTGATACATTGTGATACATTGTGATGTAGTGTGATGCATTGTGATGTAGAGTGATACATTGTGATGTAGTGTGATGCATTGTGATGCATTGTGATACATTGTGATGTTGTGTGATGGATTGTGATGCATTGTGATACATTGTGATGGATTGTGATGTAGTGTGATGCATTGTGATGCATTGTGATGGATTGTGATACATTGTGATGCAGTGTGATACATTGTGATGCATTGTGATACATTGTGATGTAGTGTGATGCATTGTTATGCATTGTGATGTAGTGTGATGCATTGTGATGTAGTGTGATGCATTGTGATGTAGTGTGATGCATTGTGATCAGTGTCTGGGATTTATTAATATGTACTGTGATGCATTGTGATAACGAACGATGACGAACGCTGTAGTGTGACGTTACGTAATGCATCACAAACTTTTATACTGTTTAGCCAAAAAATATATCGTGCATGGTATAAAAAATGGCGCTGACCAAGGCCGAAAAACTTCAAGCTGTAGCTATTATTACATCTCTAATGGTGCACGAAGTGAAAAAAAAACGAAAGTCACGACGATGGTGGGTAAAACCGTGGAAAACTGCGCAGCGCCGATACGCACAAGGGTTAGCACAAAATTTAATTCAAGAGATCCGAGTGACTGACCATGATGAATTTAGAAATTTGTTTCGGTAAGTTAAAAGATGTGATAGTCTTTTTATTCATGCACTCTTCAAAATTAAGCTAGTCAATGGATTGCACAATCAATTCAAATTTTACGTTCTTTTTTTAATAATGAAATTTTCTTATTTTCTTTACTTTTATTTACAAATTATAATCTTTACTACTTTTAAGGATGGATTCCATTTTGTTTGATGAGCTATGTGAAAAGCTAACACCATTCATAGCAAAGAAAAACACCACTATGAGAGATGCTATATCTGCTCATGATCGCTTGTGTGTAAAATTAAAGTTCTTAGCATCAGGATGCTCATACAAAGATTTGATTTACAGTTTCAGAATATCAGTTTCATCTATTTCAAAAATTGTACCTGAGGTCTGTGAAGCTTTGTGTAATGTGCTGAAGGAAGAATATTTAAAGCCACCCACAACAAAGCAACAATGGTTACACATTGCTGATGAATTTATATGCAAATGCCACTTTACCCATGCAGTTGGCAACATTGATGGTAAACATATCAAGTTGTGTGCACCTCCAAACTCAGCCTCTGAGTACTTTAACTTTAAAAAACATTTTAGCATAGTCCTCTTGGCTATTGCAGATGCAAATGCTAAATTCATCTCATTTGATCTTGGAGCCCCTGGCAAACCAGTCAGATGGAGGAATTTTTAAAGACAGTCACCTTAAAAACACATGCAAGACATGCTATTTCCCACAAGCTGAAGAACTAAGAGATACATTATTGCCTATACCTTACTTTCTGCTTGGAGATGAGGCATTTGCTTTGAATGAAAATGTAATGAAACCATATCCACACCAGACTGCAATACGTGATGAGAATGTTTTTAACTATAGACTTTCAAGAGCACGAAGAATTATCGAAAATGCATTTGTATTGATGTGTAGTCGATTCAGATGTCTTTTGAGAACATTGGAGTTGGATGTTCCAAATGCAATGCAGGTGGTGAGGGCCTGTATGGCGCTGCATAACCTTTTGATAAGTCAGAAGGACCAGGGTCAGGGAAGGAAATGTTGTGAATGGTTCTTGGAGAACACAATTAGGCAATGAAAATGAACTATGTGACATCCAGCCAGATGCCAGTGCCCGCCACTTTTTGGAACAATCACCGCATTCTGGAAAACAGCTTCCTTGGAATTTGGGCAAAGATAATTCTCACTCAATCCGCGAATAACGCCAAGTTTTGCGTCCGCTGTTCGAACTTCGACCTTTGGAAAATGAAAAAATTTTTCAAGAATCTAATAGCTTGCCCCCTCCAAATCTAAATTGAGAGTCATCTGATTATTTACAGCAAGCTCCTGAAAATATTCCTCCCTACCAATGACGATGTAGATAATATCGACTTCTTTATTAGACACCACTCTCGTTTGATCCGGAACACGGACGATCGGTTGTCCGTTGTAAAAGTATTCCATGCTTTCTTCGTTAACTGTGGCATTTAGAGATTCTTGGATTTCCATAAATTGGACTCCGCCACAAAAGTTTTGTTGACGGTCATCCAAATTATTGACAACACCCGCATGAGCACAGGACAAGGCATAGTACATATCATTC